GAACCTGGCATTTGGGTAATCTATTGAAATGTATTAAACAGAGATTTATATTAAAGGGACACTATAGTCACCAGAACAACTACAGCTTATTGAATTTGTTCTGGTGATTAGAATTATTCCCTTCAGTCTTTTTGCTGTAAACATGGTCTTTTCAGAGAAAATGCAGTGTTTACATTACAGCCTAGTGATAACTTCACTGGCCACTCCTCAGATGGCTGTTAGAGGTCCTTCCTGGGTCATGGCTGCATAAAATGCATCCAAACCTTCAGTATCTCCTCCCTCTGCATACAGACACTGAACTTTCCTCAATTCATCTCTATGAGGACATGCTGATTGGTCAGGGCTGTGTTTGAATCATGCTGGCTCTGCCCCACGTACTCCCTGTATCATGGGGAAGAAAACCAAAAAACAGCGGTCAGATCCGAGCACAGGATCTGGAGATATCGGGGATTTTCTTTGCGCGGCTACGCAGCCGGCAAATCCCAAGATGACGCCGGAGGCTTACACCTCCCAATCCTCGGACGAGGATTGCCACTACACTGAGCCCTCCATACTGAGCCGAGGGCGCCAGACACCTCAGGGACCCCAGGATCAGGGAGACTCAGCACCCGCCACCAAAGCGGATATCAAAGCACTGGCGAAAGAAATCAAGACCATGTTGGAGGATATTGCTACGCTAACCAACAGGGTGGCAGCAGTGGAGGAGGGCGCGAAAGGTACAACGCTGGCGAAAAATGCCACAGATGTCGACCAGCAAGCACAACTGGCGGACATGGAAGACAGGCACAAAGCATGGAACCTGAGGGTCCGGGGAGTACCGGAGACAATCTCTGGCACCGACCTGCCACATTTCTGCCAACGGCTCACAGCCACGCTGCTGACACCACGGCAAGCGAAGCAGGTAATGATTGATTCCTGCTTCAGGCTCTCCAGGGTGACCTCTACGCCATGAGAAGGAGCTAGCGACGTCCTGATAAAATTTGTGAGAGACTCTGACCGAGGAATACTTATGGGAGCTACAAGAGACTCTCCCACAGTGGCATTTGAAGGGGCACAACTAGCATTTTACAGAGACTATTCAAGACACACTATACAGTGGAGGAAATCTTTTCGTCAGATTACACAGCTACTACGGGATCAAGCCATCCCCTACAAGTGGAGCCCATGCAGACTACAGGCGGACAAGGCTGGCGTGACACACAAGCTATCACACACTTCTGAAATACCGGCATTCCTCAGATCATTGGGCATACCGGCGCAGGCAGCACAAAAAACAGCTCGACCACCTTGGACTGTGGCAGATATCACCCCCTTCGTGCCCAGAGTTGAGGGCCCGCAAGTTGCTGCCCTGCCTACCTGATACAGTTGCAGCCACGCAAGTACCATGTATTTCTACCTGTTGTAGACAGTAGGAGCACCAACAGTTCCCTGGACTGTTAATCCCCCTTCCTATATAACCTCCTCCCACTGGCTCTGTAAGCTACAGCTCAGGTTATATGACCAAGTTAATTCCCCTTATTTTGAGTACACAAAGCAGAGTTAAAATTGCCCGTATACCTCACACTCGGTAAGCGAATACAACCTTTTTACGCAATTATAGCACTAAGCCCTATGCCCAGGTCCATCAGGACCCATGCCAAATACCCACACATTTAGACCTTAGGCCCAAGCCACATATACCATGCCACTACTAAGCCTATGGCCACCCACAGCACTAACCGAGCACCACCAGCAGATCACCCTCCCAGATGTGCCATTCGTTAATGCTACACGTAAATTCACACTAACGAGCCTAAGGGCACCCACCACCATAGGAAAGGAGCCCCCCAGCACATCACCAATCCCCCGCGGTAGAACAGGCGAGAGAGGGCTGTAAAAGCTTTTAAAACTATAAAAAATGGATAGTCCCCGTAACATGTTGAAATTACAGTGTTATTTGTTCATTATATTGCCAAACATGTAATATTGTAAACATCATGCTTTATCCACAAAAATAATAAAATAATAATAAAAAAATAATAATAAAAATGCCCACCCCCCACCAAGGTTTTGCATCACATACACAAACTGCATTCATACACACACACTGCATTATATACACACTGTAAATAAATATTCAATTAATATAATTTTTGGGGGATCTAATTTTATTTAGAAATTTACCAGTAGCTGCTGCATTTCCCACCCTATTCTTATACTCGAGTCAATAAGTTTTCCCAGTTTTTTGGGGTAAAATTAGGGTCGACTTATACTCGAGTATGTATGGTAATAGAAATGTCAACATTTGATTTTGCAAGAGAAAGTAAAACAAACAGTATGAGAGCCAAGCGCCCTTGAAATCAAATAGCTTAATATTCTTCCCTATGGTATAATATCCATGTGGAATTATCAAACACGTTTGCGCTCCTCGTGTGTCATTTAAAAAGTGAAAATAACTATTAAAGCATCAGATTAGCCAGGCCAAGGGGATTTAAACCCAACGTTTCAGGCCAGTTACCTCTGCACAAGAACTATTGCAACACCGGACATATGTTTCAGATAAATGTATGGTGTCAGGATTTCCAAACATCATGGTAGGATATGGACTAGGAGTGTACCATTCTCCACTTTGGTTAACGGTGGTCCAGCCCGAAGCAGGAGCATGCCTCAACGTCACGTCCAAAGCTCAACATTACAGCTTATAGCCCTGCCATGTCATGAAGCGATTAGGGAGAGTTCCCTGCCCATTATTGCTATGCCACCTGGAATTGCTGACTCCCCCTCTTCCACGGTGCACATGGAAACAGAAGATGAGATGGATACATCTGGCTCACAAGCAAGCAGAATGGAGAGTGTGCCAAAAAAATACAAGTTGGACAGCCTAAGCAGAATGATTTAGGTGGTTGAAAAATGAGAGTTGAGAAGTTTGACTACTGCCAAAAGGAGGGAGACAGGGTACAATATCCACTACTGTATGTGGGAGTGGTTATGGTGCTTGGAGTGTTTCTTTAAGTAATATTTAACAGAATTTGAATAAATATATATAGTTAATACATTGCTAAACACAAATACACACACAAGTCAAGCCATAAAACTTGCTTTTCCCACAGAAATCTCACATTAACTGTGCTCTCACTACTGCAAGGGATTCTGGGTAGGCGTATGCAGAATTCCTTGCACCACAACTCTCTTGGTATGTGTATCTGTATCTATTAGTAAAACTGGCATAATCTAAACCAGAATCCTGTCATCATTCACGTGATCTCGAGAGTACTCCTAGTGCTTGTGCAGGTACCGTATGTGTATTGCAAAGTCACTGATGAAGCGATAAGCTGTGAGTGAGCTCTTTCAGCATTTCTGTACCATCTGGCAATAAAGAAAATGTAAACACTTAAGACATGGCATGCATGACTGGCCACATTCAGGGAAAGGAACAAGAAGGGTTTTCATTCACTGAACTCTAAACTGTAGCAAACTAAAATCCAACTGCAAAACTAAGGTTAATATAGCCAACATGTGACTTTAGCAGTTGGAGAATTTTTCCAAATTCCCAATTGTTTTCTAGATTTTGACATTTAAATTTTACTTTCTGAGCTTTGGAGTTTAGTGACTAAAACCATTAGTTGGAATATACAAGTGGCAATTATGAATTTCTTCCATACCAAGTTTAATATTTTAAGAAGAAAAACACATTTCCTGACTTGATTACTTACTTTGTTTTAAGGACATAGGACATTGCACTGCGCAAAACAGCTATTTTATCATAGATGTTAGAGCATGTAGCCTGTTCTACTGAGTAGGATGTCAACTTACAAGGAATCCAATACTCATTACTTGTTTTTGCTATACATATTTTACACAATGTGACTAGCATTCCATCTGTTTTAGATACTGAACATCCACAATTATTATTATCGACATTTATATAGCGCCAACAGATTCCGCAGCGCTTTACAATATTATAAGAGAGGGAATTTAACTATAAATAGGACAATTACAAGAAAACTTACAGGAACGATAGGTTGAAGAGGACCCTGCTCAAAGGAGCTTACAGTCTATATGAGGTGAGGTATAAAAGACAATAGGACAAAGGATAGCAATTGACACCAGTCTTGACAGGCATATTTCACGTTAGAATTAACATGTTCCAATATGTTGTTATTTACCAAACTGAGAATTGAAAGTGAATTTAAGGCCACGGGAGCTGAACTAATAGCATAGCTGGCTTAGATAATTCTTCCTGTTCGGCTATTTTAGGCCTTACATTTGAAATTCACTTTAGTAAATAACGCTCTCTCACTCTATATCTTTTTACATTTTATTTCGAAAAGCTCTTCAAAAAGAAACATCCTCACGTGTCCCTGCGCGCCTCCACTGCTCCTCATCAGAGCTGTAAATTTGCTAACGAAGATATTGTCTGCTGCTCTGTAATCAGAGCTGGATTAATCACAAGGTGACCCTGGGCAGCCGCCTAGGGCAAAGGGGTTAGACAGTGCCCTGTAACTATGAATTTGCCTGATCCCATTAACCATCCATATGTGAAGAATAAAAGGAGGGAGAGGAAATGGTAGCCTGGCTAGGGCTCTATGGAATCTTAATCCTTCTCGGTCTGTAATGGTATATTGGTCTTGTTTATTTATTTCTCTGAAATGCAAGATGAGGTTTTGGCTCTACTACATAAACAGGGGAGTTGCATATATTGTCTTAGGGGAACAAACACTGGAGATTGTACCTTTTATAGATGTCATGCTGATTATAAAATAAAAACAAAGATAGGACTATAGCGTGCATGATTATGGATGTGAGGTTTAGGAAACCCAACAAAAACAATTATTAATAGTACAAACCATATGTCTTAAATACATTTCTCAGATCGGGCTTCATTTTGCTGGTGTCATCGTCACTCTTCATTGTTTACCATCTATACATGGTACCCACATACATGCAGGCACGTAATTGGTCTTCAGTGTAACATCCTGTTTACACATGTGGCAACTATGAAAGATTGACACACACCTAATGCTAATAAAATAAAGCTTTATTAAAATGCACTGAAATGACTACATTGCACTCTCTTGGAGCTGAGCGCCCTCTCGTGGATCTTTTAAAACTGGAAACAGTTTGATGGACAATGAGTATTATATATAATAATAATTGTTTAGTACATTTACTGCAGTCCTTATCAGTGAATAATGTGAATCTGTCATTCATAAAACAAGTGGACGAGAAGTTCAGCTTCAGGAAGTACTGGTATAAGCGTCAAGAAGTAGAGATCAGAGATATATTTGCTTGAATCTTTCTTCTGCCTCTTAGAAGATGGTCTCTGCAACAGATGTGAATATGCCCCCCACGCACACAGCAAATGAGGTACTCCATACCCAACAATGGGGTGTCATTTGACTTTTTTTATCTCTATGAATAAAATGTTGTCCATGCAACGTGCAGTGGTTTGGCTAGCACAACGTGTTCTTTATAAAGTGATCCAATGTCATTTGTGCCTGACCGATGGACTTTAAAATAGCTTCCTTGAAGAGGTGATGGGCTGCCAAGCTTCTTGACCACTGTTTCCAACACAGTCCATAAAGAACACATTAATCCAGGATTTGGACATTTCCCAAATCTGTTCCTACAGGGATACTCACAAACACTGGACAGGTTGTGGACTGGGCTGAATTGCTACTCCAAACTTTCAATAGAAGAAGCTCAAGACAGAAACAGTAATTTCGTCCTTCCAACAAGGTTCACATGGGGCCCATGTAAAAAAACAAGTTTTCCTAAATTCCCTTTTCACAACTCTCTCTAGAATGAAAAAAAAAAAAACCCTCCAAACTATAGGATATTAGGAGTTAGACATTAAGAATATCTTTTCTGCGAATTACAGATTTCGTTATATGGATCATTGCATGGAGTGTAAGCCTGAAGTTAGTCAATATCACCGAACCATGTGGACTGCTATGTGTAAGTAAACAGACAATATCCAGAAACGGTTACGGTAACTGCAGGGTGAACCTTCATTGGCTCCAGATAACTCTTGTGGCATGCTGCCATATTTGAAATATTGCCCATCACGCACAGATTCCCTTTAATGTTACACCAAGTCATGTTCTTCACAACAGGGGAACTTAAAAACATAAATAATTTATACTCCTAACAATATAACAACACGGCTCCTCCATAACTATATAAAGCAATATATATTACTTTCTTGAACACAAACCAGTGAGCTAGGTCACCAAAGTCCAGCTTTTCTGGGAGGCAAGTTTATGCAGTAAAGTCTGATGTGTTCTATCACCTAATCCAGCCATATAGGCTATTAGCTTGAATAGTATATTATCACAAGTTCGTCTTCATAACATAGCCAATATCTGCCGCTGGAATATACCAACTATAGATCTCAGGGGTTTTGCATCTATCGCTATTACTTGCTGGATATAGACTTAGAGATCTCAGTGAAATTTTACCTATTAAGAGTCATTTAATTCCTACTGAGTATCTGTCTACGTGTTTCTGGGGTTTCCTCTTCTCGGGGTAGTTCTCGATCAGTTAGCTGGGACCTCTCCTGAAGTCTTGGGGGACAGAAGCAGAGTTTGCACTATCTTCTGGTTCCAGCGGCAAAGAGGGAGGTTTAGAGGCCAGAGGAGCACTAATTCCTAAAAAAGACAAGCAGAATTTCATATATAGGAGTGCACGAAAACACAGAGTACAATATTTTTAAAAACCTAAGCGTCCCTATTGTTACAGAGTGTTATAATCAATCATTTTACACCTTTGAGGCTCTCACCTGTTGGAAGGCCAGGGGCCTTGGCATATCCCGCTGCAGAAGACATTGCTCTTCCCAAGGCCTGGTTGGAACCCAGGGGAGTTTGTTCGATGCCAGGTCCTTTTGTTGCCGTCCGTTGTTTTGCTTTTTGGTCTTTTGTCTGTTTGGTCCAAACCAGATTCTCTCCAACCTGCAAAGCTGCTCCCAACTTCTGTGCCATATCAACCATCTATAACATCCAAATCAACATGGACAATATAATATTTATAAGTTTGATATATTATTAAGAAATCTTTTTATTACTATTAGGAAATATTCATTTCTACAGGTTACATTTAACAATAAGACAACGTGGCCAAGGTTTGTAAGATGGTAGATGGTAGCAAAAAATGCCGCCCCCAAACGCCCACTAGGGCTTCCCTGGTGTTCCCCTTGTCCCTAGGGTCCAGTGGGGCTGCTGGGAGGTGTGTAGCTGTGTTCGAATCAGAGGCGGCAAGGGAGCTGTGATTTCCTTGCTCTGCTCCCTCGCGCGCCGTTTGCTGATGCCACGGGATCTGGAATGAAGTCATTCCAGCTCCCGGCATCAGTAGACAGCCTGCGAGGCGCAAGGGAGCAGAGCAGGAAAATCACAGCTCCCTCGCTGCCCTTATTCAAACACAGCCGCATTCCTCCCTGCAGCCCCACTTGACGCTGGGACAGATCCATGCTAGGTTTCCAGGTAAGGAGGCTGGGTGGAGAATTTTAATTTATAATAATTGTAATAATTTGTGAGTGTAGGAGTGTGTGTGTATATGAGTGTATGTGTGTGTTTTTCGATTCAGTAAGAGTCTGTCATTGAGTGTGTCAGTGTTTGTGTGTATCGGTTAATGAGTGAGTGTGTGTCAGTGAATGTGTGTGTTAAATCAGTGAGTTTGTGTCTGTCAGTAATGTCTATGTGTGTGTGTCTGTCCGTGTGTGTCAGTCAGTGAATGTGTGTGTGTCAAATCAGTGAGTCTGTGTTTGTCAGTGACGTCTGTGTGTTTGTCATTGAGCGTGTGTGACTGTCAGAGTGTGTGCTTAAATGGGCACTACTGGCACCCAGACCACTTCAGGTAATTTAAGTGGTCTGGGTGCAGTGTCCCAGTCCCTTTAACCTTGTAAGTGTAATTATTGCAGTTTCTCAGAAAACTGCATGGGGGCATGTACCAGGAAAACAGCTTTTTTTTCCTGGCACTATAGTATCCCTTTAAAAGGAGTAAGAAAAAGTGGAATCTAGGGTTGGGTTCTTAATCAGGAAGAGGTGCAGCCTTGACAGGAAGAAGTGGGGCAAATTTAGATTAGGGGGGCTGCCCAGGTTTAGTCATACTAATTAATTTAACAGATGAAGGCAGAAATAGAAATTGCTTGGGGAAATGGACTTAGAAAATATTGGCGACATCAACCAAATTATATTGAAAAATCACAATGTGTTACAGCTGCTGTGAGGCCTTCATTCCCACTTCATGTAGTCACTGATCAAAACCATCACTTTGGCTGAAGAGGAGTGATTACCAGGTTCCATCACGTAGTTATGGTCATTCAGGCCTTGTAATAAACACTTCTAATATAACGTATGTGTCCATTCCTCACCTCGGGATCAAATTCTGCTGAAGTCTCTCTGAGAGCACTAACTTTACGCTCCAGCTCTTGATATTGACTCATCGCTCCCTTTTTATCTCCTTGGTTATATAGCAGTATAGCAAAATTCATGTTCACCAAAGGGTCAGTCCTGAGTAGAAGTTTGAGGGGAAAAAAAGAAACGCATAAAGGAGGATACACATATTCAGTATAACACTGAAAGCAAAGCATTCGCTGTGTAAGGTGCATTGGAGGAGAGAGAAAAAAAAAAGGAAGAGGGGGTCTGCAAGAAAGGAAACAATCAAAACAGCGCAAAAGGTTAAGGTATAAGGGAGAGATGGAGATTGAACATGACATAGAATAGCCAAACAGTTTTGGCAATATATTTTCACTCACTGGTCCAGACTTGCAGCCTGTTGATACGCGTTCTTGGCATTTTCTGTGTCATCCAGGTAGGTGAGAGCCACTTTAGAAAAAGGAAGTGGGTTGATATAAAGTAGACAAACCTGATTGACATTTTGCAGATGGCCACAAGATTGGGACGTGTTGCTCACCTGCAAGCAGCATGTACAGTGTTGCATTGCCATGGTGAAGGGCTATAGCTGCGCTCAAGAAATGGAAAGCGGAGGCATACTGCTGCATGCTGAGATGAACAAGGCCCAGGTTATACAGAACACGCCAATCAAACGGGGACAGGTATAGTGCACGCTTCAGGCAGCTAATAGCCTGCAGAAAAGAAAAAAAAAAAAGGACGAAGACATATAGGAGAGTACATAGATAATGTATGTTCTTTACAGAAAATGTGGATCCCCATACACACAAAAGGGTAAAGTTAAAGGGACACTAAAGTCACCAGAACAACTGCAGCTTACTGTAGATGTTCTGGTGAGTACAGTCAGTCCCTGCAGGCAATCCCAAGTAAACACTGCCCTTAAAATAAAACATCTCGGCACTGACATTCAGTGTCTGCCATAATGAAAATTTAGACTGTTTAGGATATAAAAATAAATAAATTCAACAGTACTGCAGAGAAAGAGTAAAAGAGTTATAAAATGAAGCTTACTGACGCACAAACATATTTAGACTGTCTCCTAATGATCATGAGTAAAAAAACGTTTAATCACAATATAGCAAATACAAAATATTGATAACGCACACCAAAAGAACTGCTGAAAAAAATGAAGAAGCGTTTTAATTCATGTATTATACAAGGTAATTCATTAGTGCATCACTTCAATCAAAAAAAAAAAAAAAATCCATAATATGTACATCAATATTTACTAAGAAATTGGAATTCCTAGAATGCACACCAATTATTCAATGAACTTAATTCATATATAAGGAAAAGCGTATCCATGTAATAACTGTGAATCAGGAAATAAAAACCACTGGAAAAATTCATTTAAAAAAATGACATGTCCTGAATCCTGTCTGCATCAAAAATCACTGTTGAGTAGATATGCTGAGGTGCCTCCTGCCATAGTCCACACTATATTTGTAAAATAGTGTATTGCACACTAGCAGTGCCAAAAAAAACAAAAACAAAAAAGCAGAAAGAAAAAACAAGTCTCTGTATGTATTGTTCTCTGAGAAAGCATTGTTGGAGTTCTCACACTAAACAGAGAATACGAGTGAGCGAGAAATTGACAAAGTACAACATTTAGGCCAAAATTAAGATTTTCGACATGGTTTCCTGCTCAACTGTTTTGTTCAAATGTGTTCGTTTGTCAAGCTGCTGTTTAACAACTATATACATGGATTTGATGTTCTTAATTAAATTATTCAATTATATATATATATATATATATATATATATATATATATATATATATATATATATATATATATATAAATAAGATGGACAGAAAGAAATGTTTACAGTCAGAAAACACTTACTGCCACAAACTTCTTCTTGCCAAAAAAGCACATGCCAATATTGTTCCAGAGTGGAGAACTTTCAGGAACACTTGAGGCGGCCACACGATACTTACTGAGGGCCACATCATAATCCCCATGAGACTGCATCATACAGCCCGCTGCCAATATAGCCTGGGAAAGACATATTACACATTACATACAAAGACCATGCACATTCTAACCTATACTTTGTGTATTGTTTCACATTTTCTGAAATAAAAGAAAAATACATTAGCTTTGTCCCTACTTCTGCTCACGTCGTTCATCTTTAATCAGTCCGAGTACAGCTGTACGCATCAATGTCACAGTTTTCTGTCACTTTTGCATTAGTGGAGGGAATGGCTTGTAGGTACCGGGAAAAGCATTTCTTGTCAAAATTCCAAACAGGGTTTGACACAAACAGGTGGGACAGCACCAATAATGAACTATGGTAGTTATGTTGCTAAGGGTGCCTCCTTAAATGCTAAGAGGTGTAAGAGAGCTGAAACATCATTTATTGTTGAGAGTTAAAATGTTATATTTTCTAGTACAATTATTACTTTTTTCATTCAGTTTAAAGTGCATTCAAAGAATTGTGGATTTTTAATTGAGTCTCCTGTCTAATACTGTACAGCCACTCTATAGAATACATTAGTTTCTTCACCTTATAGTTACTGGGGTCGTAAGTCAGAGCATTCCCAAGATATTCAAAGGCTTTCTGGTACAATCCATTCTGTAACAAGTCAGAAAGATAGAAAATAAGCAAAATGACCTTGTTTAAGTTCAGGTAAATCGCAAACACAATATATAACGTGTCTTATCTGACAAATTAATTTTCTTCTGGATAAGAACCCACAAATTGTGATATATTGGATAAAATCCCTCACAACCAGAGGAGTTATAAACACTCTTATTGCAATACGTCAGCACATTCCTTCCCGTCCAGTTGTCATGAACTGGCTTGTAGCAAACTTGCCCCTTTAAAGGAGTTTGCCATGAGTTTTTGGAGGGGGCTGCTTGCCCGCCTCCTGCCCTGTGACTACAGCCCCTGGGATGTATTGCCTTTTAAGAACATATTTGGGCATAAGGGATTTTTATTACGCGGCTACTGGCCCTTTAAGCACAGTGTATGGACTTCTATTAGACTGTGTATAGATTGTGTATAGGAAGGTGTACCCCTCCCCGTTTCCTGTCCCATTGTTGTCCAGCAGGGTGTTGTCCCAGGCACACTGCCAGACTAGTTGGAACTGGTTTGGGCTGGAAAGCCATGCTTCAGTGGTCCTAAAGGGACCTTCACCTAACTTTTTAACCCCTGAACTGATTGACCTAATTTTTGAGTATGTTTATATTTTTAAGTATGCTGATTCTGAAAATGTATGTTTTAGGAAGATTGGATGTATATTTTTAACGTTACAGCATGTGTGTAAAAACTGTATATTTTCTGCCTGTGATAATTAAGTTAGTCTATTGTGTTGAGATAATTGTATCACAGGCAGAGGGGAGGAGATGTGTGGGAGGTAACATGTATCTGATTGGTGACTGTACATAGTATTGTGGGTGTCTCCCTTGCAGTGGGAGAGAGGCATAAAAGCAGGGGTTGTGGAATAAAAGTGCAGTTCTGCTCCTGATACTCTGTGTCGTCCAGCTATTGGGAAAGGTGATGGGATATTATTGGATTGTATTGCTGATTGTGCTACGCTGTTGGATTATTCTATTACTGTGGATGTTTCTCCTGGGGTTACTACTTGATCCTGAGCCACACCTGGACTACCAGCGGAAATAGTCTGTGAGAGACCAGCGTTCTGCTACATGGCTGTCCTGCACTGAAGTCTGAACAGATTGTAGGCTGTCCATTTTTTTGAAAGTGGGAAGCCTGAGGAACAAGCTGGAAGACCATCTCTCAGGTTCATAGATAGGTTCGCATCTGTATACTTCTCCTTTTGGATCATAAACAGGTTCAAGTAGAACCCCAGATCCTGTTCCGGAACCAAAACAGGAGAAATTACATTAATTTCTACTTCAGCCCCGTAGTCTAGAAAGCCTTCAGAGGTTTGTGGAAAGAATGAAACAGCAGGAACCAATCCAGAGAAGGGAGATGCTGAAAACCAAGCTAAAAAACTGAAGAAACCCCATTCATCCAAGACTCACTGGTCCAAGGATCAGACTTCATGTGTCTCTGAAGAATACAACCTTTAACAGAGAGAATATACCCCACCTGGAGCTCAAGCCCAGGTGTTCACATTGGTATTCAATCTAAGGGACCTTCATGATTAGGCATCGGTAGACAATCCAGGAAAATATCAGACTCTGCATGTGGCCTTTCAGAGTACATGCAGACTGCCTGGAGAACATTGGTATCCTATGCACTCCACTATTAACCACTCAGCCATATAGGACTGAGCAGGTATCCCTCAACAGGGAACAAATCATTAATTCCAGGCTTGTAAAAAGATTAATCTAACTTCAGTTAGAGTTTGTATTAATCCATCTTCCTCCTGAGAGAGAAGAAAAAGAGCTCAGGATTGAAGAGGAGAGTTAGAATGAGAGGAGCGTGCTGCATTATGGGCATGTCTACCTCCTGCATATGAGATCATCTAATATAGGAAATGAAGATTTGAACAAACACAAGCATTGTCGGAGCATTCCCTTGTTTTGCAATTTGTGTCACTGTGGCACTAGCTAATAACAGTATGCCCATATTGTGCAGTCTTGTTTAGGACTTCACTCTCTTTTCATACCCTGCTCTCTTCTATGCTTGTTCTACTGCTACAGTGTGTATGGAATTATGTGTCCATAATCAAGACAGAGGACAATGTGACACATGTAATAAAGACAAAGTAGATAGCAGCTCTGACCAAACAAAAATGTAAATATTTCAATAAATTGGGAATTGCGGAGAACTAGCAAATTGTATACCAAAAAACGGACAAGCAGGAAAAATAATAAACAAGCTGAAGAATTTTTTCAATTTACCTATTTTGGCTTAAAATATGCAAATACCTTGTCAATCCTCTATATCTCAGAGTTAAGTGAATATTCTAAAGGATACATTGATTGCAACTGACAGACAGAAAATGGGACCGTCAGGAGGCAAAGAGGACAGCAAAGATACAATTCACACCCAGAGCACAGCAAAGTGTGGTAGAGCGAAAGCTGGTCGGTAGGATTCATTACGGGACAATTCATCTATAATTCTTTACCTGTAGATACAATAGTCCTAATGTTGTCAGCAATTCAGTGCTTTCAGGAGATAATCTGTGAAAGGGACAAGCAAAAAAATTCACAAATGTATTAACCTTACACATATCACATCACTTTCTAGATCTAACTAATGCTACAATTCTCACTACATGGATTCCAGAATTTGTGACAAAGAACTCGATGTAGGGCAGTGAATTAGCTTTGGAATAGCAGCTGCAACATGTGGACGAAGAGACCCCTGTAATTAAGATGGGGGACTGAAAGTAAAACTGGACTTATGTGGCGTCACGCCAAGCACGAGGAACAATGGGCTCAGTTTGCGAAAGAATACAAGAAGCCCACAACAATGAGATCGGTGTTTACATTTTTAATAGAATCACATAACTCTTCTCTTGTTTATTGTAAGAAATGTGCAAAGCAGTGAGGTCACTTTCTAAGTGCTTTCGCTAATTATATTTTCCACTGTTTAATCCTGTATATAGTAGTCCTTCAATCTCTACAGCTTTGTTTATATGGACAGCTCCAAAAATGTATAAATCATGACTAACACAGCTCAATCCTAAACCTACTCTCCCTTCCATTGTGCTTAGGACAGGAAAACAGCTTTCAAACTATGCCTGCCAAATTAGGTCAAAAACAGTTAAATAGCTCTTAAATTGTTGCTTGTTAAAAAAATATATAAAATGGAATCTGAGCAGTCCCTCCCAGGCTCAGCTGTTTTTATGGCTCTCAAATCAGCTGGTACCGTCCGTCCCCCTGCATTGTTTATTAACCCTCACCTACTTTCCCTATCACTCGTTATACCTTTGTTGCATTCTCTTTTAAAATAACATGGAAAGAAAATGTTATGTTCGATGGATCACATGTTTATATTGTCGTGTTCACGCCACGTTTAATGGACACTATTTTAAAAACATTGTACAGAATGTTTTTGTTCTTTTATTTAAATGGACACTCCAATGCCCAAATACAAAATAAATAAAAAAATAATAGAAGATATACTCCAAATGAAATCTTGCATGCATTTAATTATAAGTTTTTTTTCATAGGGGGTAACTCTAAAAACAGCTTGCAAAACCTGCAGTTCTCTTGTCTGCTGCCTTTACAAACCCTCCCCTTATAACTCCGCCCAGACTTTCTGTGGCGGTCCAATCACAGCCTACCCAATGCGGCTTAATGAGAAGTCTTTGCAAGGCAGGTGCTCTGGGCAATTGCTGCCTCTTGAGTTTAGCTCCACTGAGCTAACCAAACCAGGAAATAGCAGGACCTGGGGGTGTAACCAAGTTAGTTTGTAAAAGTGTCAATTTTTATTGAAATCTAAACTTTTTGCAAAAAAAAAAAAAAAAACACATTCTGTGCACATAAAGCTTTACAGCAAGCTAAAGTTGCGTTAGAGGTCTGCAGTGCCCCTTAAACATTTTATAACATACCCCATCATTCATTCAATACGTTTACTTACACAGATACAGATGTCCTATTTTATGTTACGGTTTTGTTACAGATAACAGAAATAAACTTTAAATTCAAAGGAAAGTAATAGTCTTTAGGTAGACAGATATACACTCACATACACAAGAAAAGGTGGAGCGTAAACTTTGGGCTTTTCACCATACTACTGTAGTATCCAAATGTAGAAGTTACCAGATGGCAAATTCCATCATCACTGCACTATACAGCAGACCCAGGAACCAGACAATACTTCTGATCCAAGACAAAAACTTACTGCAGGTCTCACCGTATATTGCATGGTGTATGTAATTTGTCTACATTCTCTTAAAAAGCATATATTCACAAAAGCTTACTGCAGAGCTTGCAAATAGGTCTGAATTGCCGACTCAGTGTCTCCTTCCATAAGATAAACCTTGCCCAGGATCATGGCGCTGAGATCTTGCCTGTGCAGTTGCATAGCCAGAGAGAGCTGCTCCTTGCTCTTCAGTGGGAAAAACAAACATACAAAAAACACACACACACAACAAAACAAAGATAGAGGAGAATCATCATTAGTTGCATAATTAAACAAAACCCAAGAATTAAGTAGACAGTTTTCACACTAAACAGGAGAGTGAAGCCGTTAGTGTGTGAGTGGTCTGTGTAGTGCAGCTATAAACTATGTGTAGAAATGTCTAAATACATTTTGTTGCCCCAAAACAAGCTATTTATTATTCAGCCCTACAAACCTCTGCTCACCTTGCTCAGGTCTTTCAGATACAGATAGCAAACACCGAGATTGTGACATATCTCCTACAATATAAAAAAAAAATAAGAAATGAAAACCTTTATACTCTGATGAATAAAATCATCAAACCACAGACACAATAACATCCTACGACCCGTTAGCTGTCTTAAATATATTCTTAGTCATGGAAGACCTTGGAAGCAAAAAAAGCCAAAAATGATATAAATCTCAGTTGAGATGGAATGTGTAAGGAGAAAAACCGAATCTTTGAGGAGAGAACTGCCCTGCATTGCCCATCAATGACAATATCAATTCACAGTGTGAAATAGATATCTGTATCTCCCAGCGTAGATATTGTAATCTCTCCTATAGACAAATTTAGATTTTAGGTGTTTTATTTTTAGATGAAGAGTTGAAGGGGCCCTTTGCTCCAAAATCCCATTCTTTCTGTGCCTCCCAAACTGCATGGTATAAAATAAATACTGACTTCTGAAAATGAACAACTGAACTACAGCTCCCAAAAACCCTCGCTGTCCTGAGTAATACTGAAAGTTAAACAGACACTAAGCACCAAGACCACTATATATTTATGTATTGGTTTTGATACATAGAGGTTTATTCAAACAATGTAAAACATTGCCATTTCCGAGAAAAGGCTGTATTTACATTTGTCCAAGAGTACAGGCAGCCAGTAGACTGAGGAACTCCTTCCTTACAATCTTTGTTTTTGAAAGGTCTTCAGGGTCGGAGTAACCGCACACAGCAGAATGACACTGAATGCTTTTCACAGAAGAATTGGCTACCTTACTTTTCTACAAGAAGCATCAAACAAGTGGAGTAAGGCAATCATAGTTAGAGACACTTCAAAGCCTAGGGTTTTAGAGAAAATGTCAAATGTGTTTGTTTTTTTGTTTTATTTATGAATAGTAATTTATTATTTTTGCCTGTTTCAATGCATTATCTGTGTAGTGCATTAAAAAAGGGGTCTATTCCGGGCTAGAGGGCCAATTTAAAGGACACTACTACCCAAATATAAAAAAAGAGAATGTAAAAAATTCACAGTTTAGTAAATATACACCAAATGAAAACATGTATGTATTTAATTATTCATTTTTTCACCTGGGGTATGTCCTCCCCAGGCCACAATTAATGAAACTGTCCACAGGCTTCCCATTACAGCTCAATGAGAAGTCAGGGGCTCTGGGCAATTGCTGCCTCTTAAGTTTCCCTCTACTGAGCTAAACAACCAGGAAGTAACAGAGCCGTTGTCTGATTGACACTGTGCTGTGCAGGGTTTAACAAAGTTCACAAATAAAAGTGCCAATTTCTATTGAAATCTGCACTTTTGTAAAATGAAAGTGCTTTGGGGATTTGACATGTTCCTAAATTTGACACAAAAGGGCAACTTTTGGTTAAAATAAATTAATTTCAACTGGATTTGCAATTCTTATATTTACCAAAGGTAAATTTGGTTAAACACTCTTTGGACATAAAGCTGAAGTGCTACAGGATCTTGAGTGTCCCTTTAATATATAACATTGTTCTAGTAATTTGCTTGGCTAATAACATGATAATTTTGTTCCTTAAAATAATGTTACCCGTGAAATACAAGGATGCACCCTTGATGAGCCATATTCTGGTATATATGCATTATTCAAGCCATCATGATTAAATCCAAAATTGCATCAGTAAGTATCTGTCTGTGTGTATACACAGATACATAGTACAATAGGGATGGACCTTTGTACATACCCAGTCTTTCTGATTGAGTCTTGCTGCCTCGTTGTACACCTCAACTGCTGCTTTATGCTTCCCAAGTAAGAACCTTCAAACAAGAAACGGGGGAGTTTAATCACTAAACTCTGAATAATTGTCACAGCTTGCTTAAAGTTTGCTATTTGAGTTTCAGTGTGCTATATTTTACAATTGATTAGGTGGATTAGAGTGTCGGGGAAATGAGGAAGAGAAAATTAAGAAAGGTTACAGCCACAGAAGAAATTTGGATTTTGTAAATGATTATTAAATAGTTTTTTGATATATAGTAATGTCCATAGACTATAGCCAAGGGAAACAGTTTAACTCTGTATTAATTAAAAACATACCGTACACAAAACTGACCAAATACACTAATAAACTAATCTTTAGAATGATGTAGCTGCCCGAATGATGTGCTTGATAAAGTCATGTTCCCAGGCTCAGAATACTAGGGGGCCACAGAACCAAATATGAGGCCCTGTAGCCCCAATTCTTTGGCTGTGTAGGCATTGGCTGAGTGCGAAAGCAGCTCAGTGATAGACACACACAGGAAATATAATAGGCTGTCACACTGCCTGTAACTCTATCACTGCACTGCTTCCAAAGCTGGGCCTCACCGAGGAGACAGAGCATGGCGGGCAGGGACAGCAGAGCAGCCTGGCATCAAAAGGAGACCAACAGATAAGTTTATTCATGCCCAAAACTGCATCAAACTATACTGCAGGGCAAGTTACTATGCTATATGCACATACAGGATATATTTCAGGTATGTATGAGCAATGTGCATTAACACAGGGACATATATCATATTTTTGCTTACATAAGTGTACATTTATTTTGACAGGCACCTGTAACAATATATCTTTAGGGTATATGAATACAGAATTCAAAAGGAGAAATAATTCAAATAAAAATTGTAGTTTATTAAATAGAATAATAAGAAAGAAGAAAAAAAATTTGAGAAAAGGTTGACCTAAAAAGCGATGAATTAACAGAGTAAGTTCTGCGTTTCCAATCACTGTCCAGGACACACAGCTATGGAGTTTGTAAACAGATCCCTAAATACACGCAAATCAACTGACTGATTAACTTCTCAAGATGTGGATGTTGGAAAACAAAGACATTCAAAGAACAAAGGGAGGAATTTAAAACTGTTAAAGGGAAAGAAGAAAAATAAAATAAAAGGAAGGATAATATTATTGATGCAGTGGGATATTTGAAATAGCCTGGGCACAAAAGGCATAGCTAGTATAAAATAATTTTTAAGAATTTGGAAAGATGACATAGTAGGTGCTGAAAAAGTCAGAACAAAGTCACTCACAGGGACCGTGCAACTTGTTTTAGGTTGTCAGAGCTGGTGGGATTCAGGACTGCACATGTCTGGAAGAGCTCAAGAGATTCCTGGATCTTCCCCTCCAGTCGGAGGATTAATGCTTAAATGAGAATATATAAATACAGATGAACACAGGAGGGAATTGTGTACATGGAGGAGTATTGGAAATGATGGAATACAAAATGTAATCGCTTACTTTACTCAACAAGGCAATGCATATATTTTAAGTAACTGTCACAGATACAAATGCATCAGAAAAAAACGGTAGGCAAAATATCAAATAATATAGCCAATACAATGTAAACAATATACATTAATCTTATCTACACACTGATAAAAATGGAAGATCTGAAAGCATTTGATATCACGACTGAAGAAGTAGCATCATCAAAGTTACAAGAAACAGGTGTTAACTAATTCCAAATAAACAAAATCCACTTGCACACAGGAGCAATAGAGCCATGCTGGAGAGAAGCAATTTAATGATATGTGGTGGAATTGCAATAAACTACTCTGGTCTATAGTAGCAAAGGAGATCATGATAGATCAGTCCCTATCCAGGCCAGTTGAATATTGTTCCATCTGGACATGCTCAAAACACAAATTTGTAACAAACTGCACATTCATTTAAAGGGCACCTCATTATTATTTACATAGTGCCAACAAATTCCGCAGCGCTTTACAGTGGGTGGACGAACACGCATGTAGTTGTAACCAGACAAGTTTGACGCACAGGAACAGAGGGGTTGAGGGCCCTGCTCAGTTAGCTTACATGTTAGAGGGAGTGGGGTAAAGTGACACAAAAGGTAAGGATAGTATTAGACTAGTGACAGTTGCATTCCACTGCATCTCTGCCACACAGCAAAATAAAGGTTTAAGGAGTTAAAATTATTGGACAAATATTTTGAAAAACTAAGCAGTCAAGCGGTCTGCCTTCTTTTAGCTATATATTACTCGTACCTGTATAGTCCCATAAGGGAAATGCCTGGTCTGTTTTCATCTTAACTGTACATGGGACATGCCCTGGATGTTTATCTCACTATGTGTATAATTCTCATTCAACCTAACGTGGGAAAATGAACACTGAGAACAGAAAGGGATGTGCTTGTTATTTTTCCTTAGAAATTGTAGATCGTTATTAAAATCTCCAAAGACCATTGGACTGTTTGGATGGTTAAGGGTGTACAAAGTGTATTTCCACCATTAACGATGGGATGGTGTTATGGGTATATGTGACCTATGCTGCATAGGAAGAAAGTGATATCTGAAATACAGGAATAGAATTTTAAATGGAAGGAATCGGTGAAGGAAGAATTGCTTCAGAGGTTTTGAAAATGCCTGAGTAGAAATGAAAGATTTGATGTGTGGAAATGTGAATAAACCAAAACAGAATTATAAATCAGATAGCAATAAGACTGAGATGTATGTGCTTTTAGCAAGAGTAGGGGTCTTGGGTAATGTGTAAAAATAACTCACCTTGTACATAAATGGCATATTCACACACTCCCTCCGTTGCCTGTAGCTGTTCCTTAATAGCAAGCTGGAGAAATCAATGAATGTTTTGAATATTTCCAGAATTGGGAATTATTTTTAAATCAATGCTGAGATTCTTCTAGACTAGAGCATTCTTCTAACCTACGTTATAAACAAGAACATCACTGATCTCTACAATCATGGGTGTAGGAAACGTTAGTCGATCACTTTAAATAATTTTTTAAAGGGTTTTTAATGGAATCTTCAAACTGCAAATAAGCCAATAACAGATCAAAATACACAACAAAGCTGTGTATCCAACGTAATATAACATGTTTCAAGGACTCAATGTAGAAACATGACTACCTGCAGGAGCTTTAAGTGTAGTACATTGAAAGTAGTAGCACCAGACGATATATCGAACTAGTATTTGCATAGGAGGTTTTCAGCATTTCACTTTTATATTTTCAATCTCCTGAATACAACACCAGGTTCATCTACAGTAAATATGAAACCACTCTTTTTAGGGTTCCATCATAGGAAGTGAGGTATGGTAATATATTGTTTTCACCTTGCAGGTCTCATAATCCTTCCGGACGTAGTGCAAATGAATAAGCCAGTTTCGTCTCTCTAGTATAGGAAGTTCTGGAGCTGCAGAAAAACAAATGGTTAGTAAGTCATACACAGGCAGGCTATCCACTAAATCACATATTGTCAGGAATTAGAGAAAATCAGAGAAAGTGTCCGTTTCAGGACAAAAGAGTAGAACTAAAAACTTTTCTAAATTTTCAAACTCAGATAATCTGGCTTTGAAATTGCACTTCACTGGCGAATTCCCAAGAAATAAAAATGTAGGTAATAACCCTGTGGGTATTAAATCATACACATAGTGAATAGTGAAAAAAACAGTAGCTTGGACATTCTTATTAAGAAAAATACAAAGTAATGTCATGGAAAGAGGCTTGGAAATCAAGTATGAATGTTATAAAACACTTTCTAAATTCATTAGGTAATTATTTCAAGATGGTGGAGGGGTACCCTAACATACAGTCAGGTCCATAAATATTGGGACATCGACACAATTCTAATCTTTTTGACTCTATACACCACCACAATGGATTTGAAATGAAATGAACAATATGTGCTTTACCTGCAGACTTCCAGCTTTAATTTGAGGGTATTTACATCCAAATCAGGTGAACGGTGTAGGAATTACAACAGTTTGTATATGTGCCTCCCACTTTTCAAGGGTCCAACAGCAATGGGAGAATTGGCTGCTCAGCTGTTCCATGGCCAGGTGTGTGTGTTATTCCCTCATTATCCCATTTACAAGGAGCTGATAAAAAGGTCCAGAGTTCATTTCAAGTTTGCATTTGGAATCTGTTGCTGTCAACTCTCAATATGAGATCCAAAGAGCTGTCACGATCAGTGAAGCAAGCCATCATTAGGCTGAAAAAACAAAACAAGCCCATCAGAGAGATAGCAAAAACATTAGGTGTGGCCAAATCAACTGTTTGGAACATCCTTAAAAAGAAGGAACGCACCGGTGAGCTCAGCAACACCAAAAGACCACGGAAAACAACTGTGGTGGATGACTGAAGAATTCTTTCCCTGGTGAAGAAAACACCCTTCACAACAGTTGGCCAGATCAAGAACACTCTTCAGGAGGTAGGTGTATGTGTGTCAAAGTCAACAATCAAGAGAAGACTTCACCAGAGTGAATACAGAGGGTTCACCACAAGATGTAAACCATTGGTGAGCCTAAAAACAGGAAGGCCAGATTAGAGTTTGCCAAACAACGTCTAAAAAAGGCTTCACAGCTCTGGAACAACATCCTATGGACAGATGAGACCAAGATCAACTTGTACCAGAGTGATGGGAAGAGAAGAGTATGTTGAAGGAAAGGAACTGCTCATCCAAAGCATGCCCCTCATCAGTGAAGCATGGTGGTGATAGTGTCATGGCGTGGGCATGTATGGCTGCCAATGGAACTGGTTCTTTTGTATTTATTGATGTGACTGCTGACAAAAGCAGCAGGATGAATTCTGAAGTGTTTCGGGCAATATTATCTGCTCATATTCAGCCAAATGTTTCAGAACTCATTGGATGGTGCTTCACAGTACAGACGGACAATGGCCCAAAGCATACTGCAAAAGCAACCAAAGAGTATTTTTTAAGGGAAAGAAGTGGAATGTTATGCAATGGCCAAGTCAATCACCTGACCTAAATCCAATTGAGCATGCATTTCACTTGATGAAGACAAAACTTAAGGGAAAATTCCCCAATAACAAGCAGGAACTGAAGACAGTTGCAGTAGAGGCCTGGCAGAGCATCACCAGGGATGAAACCCAGCGTCTGGTGATGTCTATGCGTTCCAGACTTCAGGCTGTAATTGACTGCAAAGGATTTGCAACCATGTATTAAAAAGTGAAAGTTTGATTTATGACTGTTAATCTGTCCCATTACTTTTGGTCCCTTAAAAAGTGGGAGGCACATATACAAACTGTTGTAAATACCCTCAAATTAAAGCTGAAAGTCTGCAGTTAAAGCACATCTTGTGACATCTCATTTCAAACCCATTGTGTTGGTGTATAGAGCCAAAAAGATTAGAATTGTGTCGATGTCCCAATATTTATGGACCTGACTGTACACCATAAATATACCCATTGGTCTATAATGGCGACTTTTGGAGAAAGCTAATATGAAGAGTATTAAGAGTAAGTAGGTATCTGGGACATCACGTACACAGACGACACACAATTTTGTATTCCTAGCACAATAGTACTGATTTAAGTGAAATGTCTAGAAAATCATCTGCCAGGAAGTGTTAAAGCAGCACTGTCATGCCGAACCTACCTTTCTTTAAAAGGGACTCTCCAGTGCCAGGAAAACATTCAGTTTTCCTGGCACTGCAGGTCCCCTCTCCCTCCCACCTCCCATTCCCGGTTGCTGAAGGGGTGAAAACCCCTTCAGTCACTTACCAGAGGCAGCGACATGTCCCATATCTCTGCTTTTTCCTCCGCCGCCGCTCCCCCCCTTCATTACGTCAGCCGGCGGGGGAGACTGATGCTGCCCGCCGGCTGGGGAGACCTAATGCGCATGCGCGCCAATGCCGCGCATGCACATTAGACCTCTCCATCGGAAAGCATTTAAAATCTCACAGCGTGAGGACGTCCAGCGACGTTATAGCACAGTTAATCTGTGCTATGATCCCGGAAGTGCCCTCTAGTGGCTGTCTAGTAGACAGCCACTAGGGGAGGACTTAACCCTGCAAGGTAATTATTGCAGTTTATGAAAACTGCAATAATTACACTTGCAGGGTTAAGGGTTGTGGGAGTTGGCACCCAGACCATTCCAATGGGCAGAAGTGGTCTGGGTGCCTGGAGTGTCTCTTTAATCGATTCCTCTTATCTTCCTCTGTCAGGATCTGTTCTTTATTTCTTCCTGTCTGCTCTAGTTTTCTTTAAAACATAAGACAAAGTAGGGACTATTTATCTTATGGAGGTTTCCTATGTCTGACCATCTATGACCAGCGGAGGAGCAATGTGTCAGTATTCATTTTAGACAGAACGCCGGCGAAACTACAGAATTTCGTCCTAACAGAATGAGAACAGTTTCTCCATTCGTGTCAGGACGCAATTCGGAACTTTGTTCGGATCAGAATTTCATTCAAATCTTGCTGATCTCTTTGTGCCGCGGCTGCATCTTGAAGCCGCTTAGTAGATAACTCCCTAATTCCCACGGTAGCAGGGAGCTATCTACCAAAAGGCTGAAATACCAAGATTGGTCTTTCAGCCAAATTTACTAAATTACAAATTTACTAGTACTAGTAGACATGCCCCTACTACTATACCGCGAGTAGGGGCATGTCTACTAAACAGTGAGCAGCCCTAGTGTACCCCTTCCCGAGCCCCCACCTGTGCCGCTTTATTGGGGACTTTTAAACTAAAGGGGGGACCCAGCCCCCACCCATGAGCTGCAGTTGGAGGCCCTAAATGAAAATGGGGGGATGACCTATTAGTCCCACCCCGTCCCACACCCATGAGTGGCGGGTGGAGGCCCTAAATGAAAATGGGGGAGGGGAGCTACTGTCATCCCCCTAACCCCTCCAATAAGCGGTGGGTGCCCTAAATTAAAATAGGGGGGGTGGACCTATTGTCCTCCCACCCAGCCCCCACCGATGAATGGTGGGTGGGAGCTCTAAATTAAAATGGGGGGAGGGTGGGGTTAAACATCTTTTTGTGTTTAACTTGGCATGCGCGGGAATTTCACAGCGCTATCTAGTGTGGGCAGGTGGCGTGCCCCACAGAGACTTCATCTACCCACACAAAGATGGTGGTGCCAATGACCTAGGTCTAGGCACGAAATAAAGATGCAAAAATAGGTAAGATGGGGGGCTTAGGGGCATTTGGTGGAAACTAGGGGGACAATTAGATGTAGTGGAGTCGGGAGGGGGGGTAAAAAAAACCAAACAACGTGATTCGGCCATGACAGTGCCGCTTTAAAATCCATGTGAGTGCAAATATGTGGAATTTATACAGAGAATTTGCATAAGCTTTATTTTGACATCAAAATGGATCTTCATACCTTTCTTAAGACGGGATTTTCTCAAGCCAGAAGAGTCTGCAAGGACCTATGAGAAAAAGTGGGCACCAACATTCAGATGGCACAACGAAATACAGCCCAGGATATTTAACAAATATATATTTGAGAGTTGTAAAAAAATGTATTAAAAAGACACTCTAAAAGCAGGGGTTCTCAACCCAGTCCTCAAGGACCCCCTACCAGTCCAGGATTTAGGGATTACCTGGGTGTGTCTAAGGTGTTTAGAAAAAAAACCAAAAAACACACCTTAGATACACCCAGGTAATCCCTAAATCCTGGACTGGTAGGGGGTCCTTGAGGACTGGGTTGAGAACCCCTAAGCACTGGTAACAACTTTTGCTTAAATGGATACTATAGTGTCAGGAATACAAAACTTTCTTTGTGGCACTATAGCTCCCTCTGCCTCCCATCTCCCTGGCACCACACCGCCGGGCGAATAAAGGGTATAAAACTTTATTTACTCACCTTTTTCCAGTGCTATGTCCTGGCTTTGCCCCTTCTGGCGGCAATTGAATCAATGCTTTCCGATGGATAAAAAACTGACGCTGGAGGTCCTCATGCAGAGTGTGAGGACGTCCAGCGTCAGATACGAGACCAAAGGTCCGTTTCGATACAGGAAGCCCTCTAATGGCTTTCTAGTAGACAGCCACTGTGGGCAGACTTAGTGCTGCAATGTTTTACATTGCACCCAGACCACTTCAATTAGCTGAATTGGTCTGGGTGCCTCCAGTGTCCCTTTAAAGGGAAACTATATTGCTAGGATACAAAGTTGTATTCCTAGCACTATAATCCTCTATAGTACCCCCCTTGCAGTGATGAAAGGGTTAAAAAAAACCCCAAAAAAACATTTGTCACTAACCTGATTCCAGCGCCAATGTCCCTCTGCGCTGGCTCAGGCTTAACTGTGCTATAGCGTCGCTGGACGTCCTCACGCTGTGAGATTTTAAATGCTTTCCTATGGAGAGGTCTAATGTGCATGCGCGGCATTGGCGCGCATGCGCATTAGGTCTCCCCAGCAAAGCCTGAGCCAGCGCAGATGTCAGTTGGCAGGAGCGACGCAATGAGCATGCACGGTGAGCAATGTGTTCCCACTAGGACTACCAATAGAAAAGCATCGTAATGCCAACTCATACATCCAGCATCAGTTAGGCAACAAAAGTTGCCTAACCACCCGAAAGTGCCCTTAGTGGCTGTCTGGTAGGAGTTGGAGCTAACCATACAATGTAATTATTGCAGTTTATCAATAACTGCAATAATTACAATTGCAGGGTTAAACTGACAGGGACAATGCACCCCGACCACTTCAATAAGCTGCAGTGGCATGGGTGTTAATAGAGACCCTTTAATTAAGTGCTTTTGGTCTACAGTTCATTACCCACGAATCAATTATCTGCCATATAGAAGTTAATGATTTTGTTTACACAACACTAGCCATGCCTCCCCTTGCTGAGACGCACACTGCCTCCCTACACACTTCCTGCAATCTAATTTTTAAACTTCATTTATTGCACAATTTAGAATTCCTTATCTCCTGCTCTGTGGTGCACATTAAAACTCCTTTAAGCTTGCTGAAGTGCTTTCAGGTTTAATTGTATGTTCAGCAGGCTTATTTATTAACCCCTTAAGGACCAAGCTTCTGGAATAAAATGGAATCACGACATGTCAGACATGTCATGTGTCCTTAAGGGGTTAAACTGCCAATTTCAAGAAAGAAGATAGCAAGAAAGTTATGCTCCATTAATAAAAAATAGGCCTGACATTTGCAATATCTTACTAGGTTCTATTAGCACTTTCCAGCTAAATTTTACAATTTGATTTTCAATGTGATGTTTAATGAATAACGGAATGGGGTTACTCACTAAAGTGTCAATTGTGGAGAATTCAATTTTTTTTTATTCTGTCTGCTTTGTATTCAGGAAATAATTCCTGATAATCACTAAAGTGTGATTTATGTCCCATTCAGGACAGAGGGCTGAGGAGCTTCACTGGTTAACCCCGCAAACGCCGGATTCTGCTTTCCTGAGCATGATGGGAAGAAAGTAACACCCACTGGTTTAACCCACTGTGTCCCAGTTACACCTCTCTGGCTGCCTGAGCATGATGGGAAGAAAGTAACACCATCTGGTTTAACCCATTGTGTCCCAGTTACACCTCCTTGGCTGCCTGAGCATGATGGGAAGAAAGTAACACCCTCTGGTTTTACCCATTGTGTCCCAGTTACACCTCCCTGGCTGCCTGAGCACGATGGGAAGGAAGTAACACCGACTGGTTCAACCCATTGTGTCCCAGTTACACCTCTCTGGCTGCCTGAGCATGATGGGAAGGAAGCAACACCCTCTGGTTTAACCCATTGTGTCCCAGTTACACCTCCCTGGCTGCCTGAGCATGATGGGAAGAAAGCAACACCATCTGGTTTAACCTATTGTGTCCCAGTTACACCTCTCTGGCTGCCTGAGCATGATGGGAAGAGAGTGACACCCTCTGGTTTAACCCATTGTGTCCCAGTTACACCTCTCTGGCTGCCTGAGCATGATGGGAAGGAAGCAACACCCTCTGGTTTAACCCATTGTGTCCCAGTTACACCTCCCTGGCTGCCTGAGCATGATGGGAAGAAAGTAACAACCTCTGGTTTAACCTATTGTGTCCCAGTTACACCTCCCTGGCTGCCTGAGCATGATGGGAAGAGAGTGACACCCTCTGGTTTAACCCACTGTGTCCCAGTTACACCTCCCTGGCTGCCTGAGCATGATGGGAAGAGAGTGACACCCTCTGGTTTAACCCACTGTGTACCAGTTACACCTCTCTGGCCGCCTGAGCATGATGGGAAGAGAGTGACACCCTCTGGTTTAACCCATTGTGTCCCAGTTACACCTCTCTGGCCGCCTGAGCATGATGGGAAGAGAGTGACACCCTCTGGTTTAACCCATTGTGTCCCAGTTACACCTCTCTGGCCGCCTGAGCATGATGGGAAGAGAGTGACACCCTCTGGTTTAACCCACTGTGTCCCAGTTACACCTCTCTGGCCGCCTGAGCATGATGGGAAGAGAGTGACACCCTCTGGTTTAACCCACTGTGTATCAGTTACACCTCCCTGGCTGCCTGAGCATGATGGGAAGAGAGTGACACCCTCTGGTTTAACCCACTGTGTACCAGTTACACCTCTCTGGCCGCCTGAGCATGATGGGAAGAGAGTGACACCCTCTGGTTTAACCCATTGTGTCCCAGTTACACCTCTCTGGCCGCCTGAGCATGATGGGAAGAGAGTGACACCCTCTGGTTTAACCCACTATGTCCCAGTTACACCTCCCTCGCTGCCTGAGCATGATGTGAAGAAAGTAACACCCTCTGGTTTAACCCATTGTGTCCCAGTTACACCTCCCTGGCTGCCTGAGCATGATGGGAAGAAAGCAACACCATCTGGTTTAACCTATTGTGTCCCAGTTACACCTCTCTGGCCGCCTGAGCATGATGGGAAGGAAGCAACACCCTCTGGTTTAACCCATTGTGTCCCAGTTACACCTCCCTGGCTGCCTGAGCATGATGGGAAGAAAGCAACACCATCTGGTTTAACCTATTGTGTCCCAGTTACACCTCTCTGGCCGCCTGAGCATGATGGGAAGAGAGTGACACCCTCTGGTTTAACCCATTGTGTCCCAGTTACACCTCTCTGACCGCCTGAGCATGATGGGAAGAGAGTGACACCCTCTGGTTTAACCCACTGTGTACCAGTTACACCTCCCTGGCTGCCTGAGCATGATGGGAAGAGAGTGACACCCTCTGGTTTAACCCACTGTGTACCAGTTACACCTCTCTGGCCGCCTGAGCATGATGGGAAGAGAGTGACACCCTCTGGTTTAACCCATTGTGTCCCAGTTACACCTCTCTGGCCGCCTGAGCATGATGGGAAGAGAGTGACACCCTCTGGTTTAACCCACTGTGTACCAGTTACACCTCCCTGGCTGCCTGAGCATGATGGGAAGAGAGTGACACCCTCTGGTTTAACCCACTGTGTCTCAGTTACACCTCCCTGGCTGCCTGAGCATGATGGGAAGAGAGTGACACCCTCTGGTTACCCCTCCCTGGCTGCCATGGGGTTACAGACACAGAGCTCCTGGAGGCGAGCTGCAGTGACCCTGGTTAAACCCCTTATCTCGGACTGAGCTAATAATACATTAATCCCGGGCCGATGGGACCAGCAGGAATAAAACATCTGCCAGGCTAATGCCGCTAGCTGCCGATAGAAAGATGGAGGAGAGGGGACCGCTGAAACGTAGCCCGCTGCGCCCTCCTCATTGACAGTTACCGATTTCTCCTGATCCTCCGCCATCTCCCCCAGTTTATTGGATGGACGGAAGTAGCGTCTTAATCTCCATGGTAACAAGACTCGAAGCTCTTCCGGTGCGCACGGCGGTGAGTGGTGCTCGCGGAAACAGAGCCCTTTACAATTGGTTCCGCCAGATCCACAGCCCTCCCCAGGAATGGGATCACAGGGAGATTAGGGCAAAACAACACTGTGGCCGTTTTATACATCATTTAAACCTCTCTCTCTCTATATATATATATCTATATAGTTGAGGAGGAAATTGTAGACTTTAGGTTTAAATAATTGCTCTTGTAGAATAGCAGATTGGATTTTTTTTTTTTATTTCTTACATTAATACTCCTAAATTCCCAATTTTTTAGATAAACCATACAGGGATGTTTACTATTGTAAAGCAGATAATACATTATTGTTTTTAACCTTTAAATTATTAACCCATTTCCAAAGCTTGGGCTAAAAGTTGAATTGGAAAGTCTCCCCATGAGCTATGCTGTAATTCAGAGCCTAAATCACTATGTCAGTGTTTTGACTCCTTTTCATTTAAGTCATTAAAATGTTATTCTTAATATGGCTGCAAAGCATTGCAGTGCCATAAGTCACATGCATTTGGGAGGTGATGTCAAAATAACCTGCTCAGGCAATTTCCATACTTGCCAGAATTGACAGGTCTACTATTGGGAGAGGTATAAGGCAGGTGGGCCTGGAGCTGGGCATGTCCTTGGTACAATTAGGATCACAAAGTGACTTCCTAAATAGGTGCATATTGTCTTACATCAAGATTACAGTCTAACCCTACAAGTACTCCAGTAATGTTTTTCTATGGGTTTATATTCCTCCATAGTAAAATCTCTCTCTATCAGTCACAGATAACTGAGATGGAATGGCGATCATGTACCACACCAGCCTTAACAAAGGCCGCATTCCTAAAGTAATAAGTCACTAAACTGAAAAGGTATTTGTTTTGTGACTTTTCTGGGCATTAAAGGAACCATGAGTGACATTGATATTGAAATAATTTTAAAAAATTGCATTTATATTACTTACCACTTATTTCAAAGACATTCACTTGAAGATATTGATTCAGGTTATATGCCGAAGGTTGACCAACTTGCCTTTACAACATCCCAATATACTATATTATTATTTCTAAAATACTTGGGCATTAGTAAATCAACAAGATAAAATTATTTAGCTACCTTTTCGCGACCAAGGGTTGGTAGATGTGTGCATATATTTTGGGTAAAGAAATGTAACAGCCATAATGAAATGCTTGGTATAACAAAGTGTTAATTTGAGAATGTCTTGGCACACTTAGTTTGCACTCTTTCTCTTAACTTTACTACAGAGTTTTGTATTTTATTAAAACTCAAAAAAAGCTTTTTAAAAATGTGGTAGGGGGGAAAAAAAAAATGCTAGGTTTAACACCTGCAATACACACATTTGTACCAAATCTACTACAGCTGTATCTGGGATGTTCATAAGACATTTAAAGAGTGCTAATGTAGATTAACCAATATTACTCTCAAATTTACAGTTTTTTTTTATAAACTCAAAATAGTTAATGCGGATGACCCTAAATATCTTTCCAAACATTTCATATTTTTAAATGATGCATATTGCTTGAGAAAATATCGGTTTTTGTTCATCTGCCTGAGCAACCATGTTGTGTTAAACACTGTTATCTGACAAACTGCTGCTCTGCCTAACTTGCCCGTTGCCAGGGTAGTATTTACCAAAAGGTAGCTTAGACACCTGCCTACTGGGGCATGTCTTCAGCACCTTTAATGTGCCTTTTTGAAGCTTAAAGGAACCCTATAGTGTTAAAAAATAAAATAAAATCACAATTTGGTTGGCCCACCCCCCTTAATGGGTAAAACTCACCTTTATTCCAGCACCATCAGAACTGATGATTTTAGCAATCCAATGCTTTTCAACGGGAAAGCATTGGATTAGCTGAGATTGGCTAAGATCATCAGAATTGACAAAGAGGTAGGGCAGGGCCAAATGCAGCACTGGCCAATCAGCATCTGCTCCTAGGGATGCATTGAATGAATGCAGATCTATGGGGAAAGTTCAGTGTCTTCATAGTGTGGAAATGCCGAATGTCAGTACTGCACCCAGGAAGCACCTTTAGTGGCAGTCTCACTGACTGCCACTGTTAGTGTCCCTAGGCAGTAATGTAAACACTGCCTTTTCCTTGAAAATGCCTGCAAAGACATACTATACACACCAGAACAACTACATTAAGCTGTAGTTGTTCTGGTGACTATAGTGTCATTTTAAGTGGGCTGGTGGTGAGCCAAATACCAGGAGCCTTTAGCCAGTGCCCTCTGTAGTTCAGTTAGCCTCCTATGCTTGATAGCAGAGATACAGGAAAAGTTTTAGAGGGTGTAAAACACACATTATTTATTAAAAATTTAAAGTAGACAAGGCCAAAGTAGACAAGCTGATAACACAGCTGACTCAGGGAATGTTTCAGGTTTGGCTATTTTGACCTTACATTTGAAATTCTCTGTTGATTGAGTAACCCTGACAGTGGTGTCCCAGCTCCTCTACGGTATCTGTGTGAGGTGGAACAGGACGTGGAAATAATAATTTTCCATCTGCCTACTAACAGCCTCTCCCACAGGAAGTGCCTTGCAGGAGGAGCAATGAGTGATGCACACAACGCAACAGCTGCTGCAGCTCAACAATTAATCATAGGAAGCTAACTGGACTACAGAAGACCTAGGATGGCAAGTAATAAACATCCCTTATACCACAACTGTAACCACTCTCAAACTTTTAAACCTCTTAACACCCTATGTAATCTAACTCTCTTTAACCTGAAATTTCCCTTTAAAAAAAAACCCCAAAACACTATCATCTTTGAGCCCAGCATGGTCATGTGTATAATATATATATATATATATATATATATATATATATATATATATATATATATATATATATTTTATTTTATTTTTTTTAAACTAACCTGTATATCTGCACTCATGGTCTTTTTGTTAAATCAAGTTTATTGCTTCACTTAGAAGCTGTATATATTGTCGATGCTTCTCAGTCCTAGTTTGTGACTTTCCTCAGGTCAGACAACTTGAAGCGTCGACAATATGTGCAGATTCTAAGTAAAAGAATAAAGATCGATTTAACGAGAAGACCGTGAGTGCGAATGTACAATTTTTTTACATTGTATCTAAAAGCTGATATCTGGTGCAAAGTAGCATTTGGCAAGAGTGCAAGGTATTTCACTATATGTTTAAATGTTTTATACCCTACAATATGTCCAGATTATACATTTCTTAAACTTACTTTATCTGCACATCCCCCCCATTCCTCCCCCCTCCCCCCTCCCCCCCCTTTCATATGGGAGAACAAATTCTGTGCCTTCAGTCTCCTGACATGTAAATCAGGCCCTGCATGATACTGCAGTTACACATAGAGCAATGCAGCAAGCACGTTGGTCAGAATAGTACAGTTTGACCTAATATGGCTGCTCAGCCAGATACATGTTCTCAAAAAAATCTATATATATATATAATTAAAAAAAAAAATCTTTATAAAATACAATAAATGTAAAATAGATGAGAAGTAAATATTTGATGACAATTGCCCTTTAAGTGATATATATCAGCAAACACTATATTGCAATTTCTCGTTCTGTTTGTCTTTTTTATTTACCTCATATTTATAAAAAATATTTGAAAAACACTTGATGTATGTGTATTTAGTTACATAGAAAAACGATTTGATCTTTAACAAGCAGCCTATTATAGACTCTTAAAATATGAACCTAAATAAATTCTCATCATATATTGATTCAATATAATGTTTGCCACATTATAGCGTAATAGACTAAAGAAAGAAGCTTAATATAATCAACACATCAGATCAATTGTTTGGATCCTCTGTTTTTAAATAAGGATATTAGCCCCATAATCAATATAAAAATAACCATCTAACCCAAATTAGGGTGAAGCATAAAGCAACCACCTATTATATACTTATAACCTCTAGATTGTAAGATCATTTGAGCAGGGTCCCCAACTACATATGGTTACGGTTACAGTTTGTTATTGTCTCGTTTGGTAAATTCCCCTCTTCTTGTAAAGCGCTGTGGAATAAGCCAGCGCTATATAAATACCAATAATAATAATAATAACAACCACTTATACACTGCACATTCCCAAACAGCTATAAATCTTTATTTTTCTGGTGACCTTCTTAGTGAAGTGATAAGTACTCTGAGCATGCGCTAACTGTTCAAACCAATTTATTACACTTTCAATAGCTGTGAGCACTGCACTCTAAACCATACATGTAATGGTGCTGTAAGTGTGCAAGAGCTCAGATCTCAACTCCTGCAAGTGGAGACTGAATTGAAAATAACTAGCTATTATTGGGTACTGGTGTTGTACCTGTACACAAATAAAACAAAAACGGCTGGACGTATCAAGCATAGCGTAAATGCAGGTCTTCATAAAAAAATAATAAAAAAAATTATATATATGATGTACATGGGACAGGGGAGGCTGTGGTGTGAGGTTCCATCTCACAAAAACAATATATTACACTGATTGGACTCCAGCTGGGGAATGACAACCCTCCCGTCCTTCCAACACCCCTCTCCCCCCAAAAAAAACAGCCTTAACCCCTGGTAGAAAATTAAAACATTTGGTTATGAAGAAATAAAGGTACAAATGATAGACTTTAAACCCACCGAGCAAAGATATAGAAAATTCTCAATGTGCCTTGTGTGTCTACAGTCGGTCTCATTTTGTTATGAAAAACAAAAAACAAAGGTCCATGTATTTTTACTTTTAACAAGGTTTTTCTTTTTGGTGTTCCCCAACTGGGGTATGATCTGTGTAATATACTACACAGTATCTGGATAGAAAGTTTTTTAAAATTGCAACACTCATCTATGATGTTAAAAGTGACATGTCTCATTTAGCCAAGGCAGATATAAGGTTATTACTGTTGGAATGAGAGCTTACTAGGAAGTCTTTTTATGTGCTATGGCTCCCAAGCTTGTGTTCAAACACATAAGGTGAGAAAGATGTCTGCACAAATTCCATTTTTTTTTTTTTTTTTTTAAACAGGTTGTAAGTCCAATACTGTGGTATATATTCCCCCTTTATAAATTACAAACATATTTCAGTGGTTGTTTTATGACATATTACACACCCTACAAAAGGTGAGAAAACATACAGCCCTTATTGAAGAGTTTGTTTTTTTCTTAAACACTTAAGAGGTTTTAATGCTATACACCTTTGGAACAATGCATTTTCATCCTGCTACCCTGCTGTCACATTTAGTTCTGTACTTAAAGCAGATGTCACCAAATATTAACTTTAAGTTAAGTCTACATCTATACAGTTCCCTGTGTCTGAATCAGTTTGTATAGTTTCCTGAGCACTGTTGTTTTCATAAAAAGCATAAGGAAAAAGGATGACCTTTTTGTTATGGATCAGTCAAGCTGACCAAAATATAAATAAAAAAAATTATTTAAAAGGGCAGAGCTTAAAAGCATGGGTCTGCTTTAGTTGCTAATCAAGTGTACCCACAATCTATCAGTAAAATTAATCCCACGGAAGGGCAATCTGCTGGCTGCATCCCAATATGAAGATCTAGCACAGGAAAAAAAACATAATAAATATATATATAAATCCAGCGGGGGGAGGTGAAATATTCATTAAGACACAGTTGGTCTTATAGAAAAAGAAGAAGAAAAAAAACAACACGACAGGGACATAAGTGAAGGCAGCTTTTTTTCCACTCTCCACATTGTTATTTAAAGTTAGACAGGGGATTTATGTATAAAGGTATGTAGATTTTTTTTCATAGCTGTGTTAGGTCTTTCTGTCGAATAGTTAAGGCATTTAAAACACGTCAAAGCAGAGAAGTGTAAATAATTAATTAACAAGGATTTAAAGGATATTTTCTTCTTTTGCATACAAAGTGCAAACACTTTACAGGGACATTTTTATAAATTTGGTGAAATTTTTTTTGTTTTTGCATAAAACCTGCACGCAATAAGGCCTTAAACATTGAAATGTGTAAGTAGATGTGAACATATATTTGTATGAGTACATACAAATTAAACCTGTAAGGTAAAAGGTTGAATGGGAATTAACATGAAGGTTTGTTTCATTTTAAAATGTTTCCTTTCTGCTTTAAACGCAGTCTTAGGTATTCTGATTTGTCTTCTCATATAATGGAGCTTTGGTGAAAACGTTCTAGGCCCCCAATGCATTCTATACCTGGGTTTAGTATGTCAAGGCTATGATAACTCTGCTTATCAAATTCCTGCTATTAAATAAATCATTCAGCACTATCCAAGTGTTGACCTTAACATGGAAAAAAGTTAACACCATATGTGTAAATAAATGAAAACTTACAGTTACAATATGAAAAGGAAAACAAAACAAAGGAAACACACTACACTACAAACAATTTAAAGGCACAAAAAAAATGTTTGTTTTGTTACACAATCTTAACACACCAAGTCCCTTGACTGATCAGTGAAAGACGTTTTAGGCTTTTAAAATGTGACTGTCATATGGTCACACAGCTCTGTAGCAAGAGTTCCTTAGCACTTTCCCCAACGGTTCATAGAGGAGAACTAACTGAATTCTTAACATACAAAATCCCAAAAGATCAATCCTCTACATATACTTCTCTTTAAAACCCCTTAAATAGACACTTTGTTACGCCACGCTCTTCCACGGTGGGCTAACATTTTAATTCTTTAAACTTAATGCAAATAAAGAATTACTTTTCTCCTGCTTTGGAGCTGGTCCTTAGTTTATTTCATCAGACCAGTCTGCTCCTTCTAATACAAGGGCCATTATCATGGGGTTGTGTTGCAGTGTATGAATCGGTATTTGAGAACTGTGAGTGCCATCTTATGGCAAGCTGTGTCCGCTCTCCAACATCCCAGGAATAAACAGCACAGCCAGAACCAGCGATCTTCAAGAAAGAATAAATATTTTTTTTTCGTTTTGTACTTAAACATGATGCAAACACCGTGCGTCCCGCCTCCTCCTCCCTGCTCATGCAGATGCACTATTTACAAGTTTGAAAAATACTGCTGTCTTCTTTTCATTTTAATCTTGTTTTTAAAAGTCATGTACAAAGCTATTTTTGTTTGTTTTTCTTCTTTCTTTCTTTTTTTTAACTTTTGAAAGCTGTTCAGTTCCAACCATGGGTTAGAAAAGGTGCAAGTGGGTTAGGGTGGAGAGTGTAAATGAGTAGAATATTAGGAAAGTGGCAAAGATGCGGGAGGGTAATAGAGGTCAAGAGAAGATAGGGAAGGCGGAGGAAAATAGACAGAGGGGAAATCTGGTTTTGAATGACTGTCCTTTCTAAGGAGCCATGATATGGAAATCAGCATGACAGAGGGAAGCAGAAATTGGGAGGAAAATTCTGCAATTAGCGGAGGTTCCTGCACACACAATAACCCATTGACAGCCAAGGAGGCAGCAAGGCATTGTTTAGCAGTTTACCAAGCAGATCAATGTTCTGTTGCCCCCTATATCTACCTTGGGTTTTAAATATGCCTACAATACTGTCAAACCATTTCCTCTGCTAGCCGCTTTCCTTTTATTATTACAATATAATTTACTTTAACTTTCCATTAACAAAACAACCCTTCCCCCCCCCCAAAAAAATTAAAAGGGGGGGGGGGGGAAATAAAATAGAAACCCAAAGGCCAGGCGGGAGCGCGCAAGAGTTGAGAGCAAGAGAGAAAAGGGAGAGACGTCTGAATGTGCAGGGGGCCAGCCTCAGGGGACAGAGCTGCATTTAATGGGAGGTTGAAATCTAGTGTCAGGTGGCAACAGAGGTTTTGTCCCTGGGGACGGCTCAGTCCTCAATATATTCCCACAAGTCCTTCTCATAACCTTCATGCACATGAAGGAGCAGAACTCGCCTCCTGCTCTCGCAGTATCTGAAGGGAGAGATGGAAAAAGGTTAGAAAAATGAAAACATAGCAAGAAAAGCAGCATATAGGCAAACTTGGAAATAAGCAAAACATGATATGTCAGTAATATAGTTAGAATGTTGAATAAATTAAGCTACTTTGTGAGCAATGATGGCACTGTCCTCGATGCAAGCTTTTTAACACATATACAATTTTCCTTTATCCAAACATTATTGGCCAATTCTTTTTCTATGGATACAACAGGAAATAAGCGCTCACTACACAGTACAACAAAGGGATGGGCAGCACAGAATCTGAGAACAAATATAGGTAGACAAATATAGGTGAATATATTCACTTTATAGGGCACGGTTTACCACTCTGTCTACCTATATTAATTTTTTCTATAGTTTTACAGTGCACATGAAATCATGTTTTGCACAAAACCAAAAAAGGCAGGGGAAGGGGGTAGGGAAGGACAAGAATGAAAAGAATATGGTGAAAATGTACCTAACATGTGGAATGGTTGCATACTATAAAAAAAAAAACTCTGCAAAGTTTAAAAAGGCTAAGTTAATTTTTGTTTGTTTGTTTAAAGAATTAACCTATAAACTTTACAGAAAAAAAGCTTTAGTGTTCAAGGCAATGAGCTAATTTACATGGCTATCCCTTTTCTTCTTTTGTGACCTTCAGTCCCTTGATCCACAAGTAATCTCATTATACTGTGGATTCATTCCCCACAGGATGCATGGATTAAATTAAAATTACAACAGAGATTACCACTGATATATCTCCTAAAGGTATAGGAGAACCTGTGTATGTGTTGAGGCGGAATATGCATTTGGTGTGCTGGACTTTGGCAAGACACAATAGACAGAGAAATCAAAATGCCGAGGTAATCACTTACAAGCACATCTTTTTTATGCTAAACACTGTCTTTTCAACCCCCCAAAAACAAAGGATACTTTGAACAACTTTATCATAATAGGTTTCATATTTTATAATTACTTCATTCACAAAAAGCTTTCTTTAAAGGGATACTATAGGCATCAAAACAGCTTTAGCTTAATGAAGCAGTTTTGGTGTATAGATAATGCCCCTGAAATCTCACTACTCAATTCTCTGTCACTCAATCACTTTTTTTCTTCTGTTCATGCAGTCCTAGCTACACCTCTCTTGTCTATGACTGACACCGCATACATGAAAAAAAATTATAATATTTTTAAATCAGATGTCAACTTATTTTAGAAGTAATCTTGCTCTGTAAATGAGACTATTTCACACACAGGAGACTTCTGCTGGTTCTAGCAGGCTATTAACAGATCATGAGATAATACATTCTAATTAAACAGGTTGTGCAATAAAGGAAGTTTAAAGGGACACTCTAGGCACCAATACAGCTTTAATGCATTTGATAAGTTTTCCCCTAATTAAAGGACCACTATAGTGCCAGGAAAACATACTCTCGTGGCGCTGAAGGGGGAGGAAGGGGTTAATCCTGTACCTTTTTTCCAGCGCCGGGCCCCCTCGGTTTCTCTGAAACTGCTATGTTTACTGCAAAAAGGGTTAAACCTAGCTGGACCTGGCACCCAGACCACTTCATCAAGCTGAAGTGGTCTGGGTGCCTATAGTGGTCCTTTAACCCCTTAAGGACACATGACATGTGTGACATGTCATGATTCTCCTTTTATTCCATTAGTTTGGTCCTTAAGGGGTTAATATGCTGTGCCCCTTCATTCCAGAAAAATACTTTCTTGTCAAAGTCACTGACAGTACTGAATGATCGGACCTATAAAGCGCCATGCATTCGAAATACAGGGCACCCAAAAAGACATTTAGCAAGGCTGTCTGCAGCCAGGTAGTTAATTAAAAGCAGCACACTCAGTGCTGTTGGGGCAGAGACTGTGTGCATACCTTTGATAAGGAACTCTTTCTGGCATGACGAGGCATTGCTAAGGAGGCAAGGTTATGGTGCAGCATTCTGCAAAAAAATTATTTTTTTTTTCCTGTGCAAAAACTATAAACAGTTGAGCAGGAAAAAAAAAGTTACAAAAATACAGCATATTAATGTAGGCAAAACCTATCAAATGCATCAAAGTTGTATTGGTTCCTGAAGTATCCCTTTAAACATTAGATTTCTGTTTACAGAAGGTGTGTAGGGAGGTGTTGTGAGCAGTAAATGTTTGAGCAGTGACACGGCAGGTGCATGACCTATACAATAAAACTGCCTCATTAAAAGGGACACTATAGTCACCAAAACAACTTTGGCTTAATGAAGTACTTTTGGTGTATAGATCATGCCTCCAGTCTCACTGCTCAATTCTCTGCCATTTAGGAAAATCACTTTGTTTATGCAGGCCAAGTCACACTTCCCTACATGTGACTTGCACAGTCTTCCTAAACACTTCCTTAAAGAGAGTCATCTAATGTTTACACTTATCTCTTATCACATGCTCTATACCCAAAAACTGCTTCATTAAGCGAAAGTCGTTTTGGTGACTACCTTTTAAGATAAAATTATTTTGTTGCCTATAATGTCTTATAATGTCAAACTCTTGAAGATTGCAGTAAGCATTACATAGGCGGACAATGGAGAACACGTGGGATAATTCATAAATATAAAACCACACACACAAAAAATAAAGTAACACACAAAACCACTCACATACAGAGCTGCTGCAAAGAATGATATCCCATTCGTACGACTAGGTCAGTAAGTAGAAGAGTGAATGTGAGAAAGGCTCATATACATATATGCAGGAATGACACATACTGTTTGAAATCCAGAGAATAGACTTACACAACCAATACAGTAACTTGCAGTTACTCACCTGTACTTATCCTGCACTTTTTGCTTAATGTCTTGCAGTGAATCTTGGGAAATGTCTCTTTCCAGATATCCAGACAGAACCTCTGTAGCATTCTCTAAATCTGCCTGATTATTCTATGCACAAGGATAAAACACATATTAGTAGAACAATACAGATGTAACATTTACAACTACCTTAGTATCAAAAATGATGCTGTACATTATGGCATTTTTGCAAACACCAAAAGGTTTTTCAAAAACAAATTTTAGATTTTATGCTTCTATGGACTGTTCAAAACATACTATACATATCGCACATCATAAACAGAACAGAGAAGGCAATATAGAGAATCATGTAACAATAGCATCACAAATTCAAAAACAAAGTTTCCACCAATCCGTCCCTATGACGGCAGGAAGATAAGCCTTATGGAATTAAATTTATTTCTACATTTTACCTGTGATACGCATCCATCCACTATTTAAGCGGTTCAGGTAATCTTTCCTTTAGATAGATGGGTCAGGGAAAAGAATACTAAAGGAGAGCTCTTATCACAAAAGCTAAAGACATTATATACTATAAAGGAGCCAAGCACAGAAGAACTCACCTCAAAGATAATAGATTGGTTGTTCTTCTTGAGGTAGAATGCAAAGACGTAAGTGTACATGAGAGTGGAGCGGCACTGGCACAGAACATCCACAGCCTTTTTCAGGAACTGCACCTCAATCCATGACATGTTGTGCTGCTGCATCTCCTCCATCTTCTGCTTTACCTGGGCATACAGCTTGTGCTCAAATCGCAGGCTCTGCATGTGGTTCATGTATCGGTTGCAGTAGAACAAATATCTCTGTAAGGCCGCTCTGGATCGCTGCGTCAGTAACAAGGCAGAAGGAAAGAAAGGTATAACTAGTGAACAGCTGCAATCAAGGCTAACTGTGCTTAAAGGATCACTATAGTGTAAGGAAAACAAAGCGGTTTTCCTGACACTATAGTGCCCTGAGGGTGCCCCCACCCGTGGCGCTGAAGGGGTTAAAACCCCTTCAGCAGCTTACCCGATTCCACTGCCGGGCTCCCTCGGCGCTGGTGACCTCTCCTCCCCCAACGATGTCAGCGGAGCCGAATGCGCATGCGCGGCAGTGCCGCGCACGCATTCAAAGTACCCATAGGAAAGCATTTCTCAATGCTTTTCTCTGGATGCTCTGCGTGGTCGAGGCATAATATGCCTCCAGCGTCGCAGGTGCGCCTCTAGTGGCTGTCCGGAAGACAGCCACTAGAGGCTGGCTTAACCCTGCAATGTAAACATAGCAATTTCTCTGAAACTGCTATGTTTGCATCTGAAGGGTTAAAACCTGAGGGACATTGCACCCAGACCACTTCATTGAGCTGAAGTGGTCTGGGTGACTATAGTGTCCCTTTAAAGAGGTTGGTCTCAAAGTTCAATTAGTAAGATCAGAGTGGCAAAACAAGACCACCACTATCTGTAGAACTAAAACTCAGATAATGAATTGCCAAGGAGGACTGCTATGTTCATGGACACAATGATGGAGACTACATGCACTGAGCAAAGATCTGCTGCTGGTAGTGATCCTTTTAGTGCACAGCAGCGGAAGCGGAGAGATTTCACTATAAGCACTTTTTACTAGGGTGAAATGCACCAATGCCTTGGCTATCAAAACATAGTTGGGTTCTTTCTGACTGGGTTCGTTTCTAATTTGAGAATTACCAGGACATCAAAGTAAACTTGAAATTAAAAGGCCAGAGTAGCCAAACCGGAACATTCTCCCAGTCAGCTACTATGCTTCTATTTAGAATTCACTTTAAATTCCCAACAATTTTCCCTTTAGTAAATAAACTTGTATGAATACTTGTGTTTCAAGATCTGTAGAAGCATACAATAAGCATTACATGGCACTTTGAGCTGGTGATTGATCAAGGTATGGATATCAGCTTAAAATTCTGATGGTATTCAAGGTTAACTTGCAGAGAAAACTTACATGGATCTCTAAAAAAAAACCCTTAAGTTCAGTACCATGTATATAAACACTTGCACCAAGTTGTTCTTCACAAACTCAAGAAAAAAACTAAATAAAACGTTCATTCCCCAGTGAAGTGAACAGAAGTTAAATTGGGTAGCTTACAAATAGTGAAATACCCAAGTATTATATCTCCAAGCATCACACATTTCAACAACTTTTATCAAGGTTTGGTCAAGTTAAAAACGCAGAAGTTAATGAGTAAATGTGTAAGTGCAGATCATAATGCAAGTGAATCAGAGAATACACGCAGTGTGTTAATGTGTGCTGGGAGCACTGACTCACCTCTTGTGCATCACGCGCAGCCTTTGCATCGTCCTCATTGTAACGATTACAGTTATACCTGCAGAAGTGATTGGCATTAAGCATGGTTGTCCAACTGCATATTATATCAGTTTTTCCCCCCATTGTTAATTATTTCCTCTGACCTTGTTCTACTTCTTTTCTTATAATTTAGTGAGTGTTACACAACAAAGTCCATCGTATCCATATACAGAAAAGATATAGTGGTAGGACTCACCTCAACATAGCTTACGTGGTGTTTACACACAAAAGAAGTCAAGTAAATTACTCTGTGGGCTATGCTTTATTAACATATAGCAGATGTAACAGAGGGTTTATTTTTGGGGTGATTTTTAATTTTACTTATTTTTCAAATAAATGCTACGTTTTAAAAGGACTTATGTGAATCCTTGAGGTTATTGAAAGCGGTAGTCCATTGTACTTAGACGTCTGAGGGCAAACACAGAGTAAATGGTGTACAGAAGAACAGGTGTGTCAAAACCCATCCTGGTAAGTAGAATTCCAGCCACAGTTGTAGTATTTGTGTCTCAAAGACATATGTTTGAGACCAGAATTGTAGAATGATAAGTTACCATCTATATGGCATACATACAGATCACATAAGAGCTGACAGGACAACAAAACTAAACAGCCTTTGTCTGTTAAAGGCACGGGTGCTTAACTTGCACTTACCAGGCAGAACCATGGGGCTCCCAGGGTCCTAGACAAACCCAACAGAACTCTGCCTTGCAGTTCTGATTCCGACATACCATGTGATTACAGCCACCATCCTTTTCTATGGTAACATGGCATTTGGGGCATTCCTAAATATATATGTATATATAGAAAAGAAGCCACATCAAAATGATGAAAATAAGTTAATGAAATATTAGCATATAAAGGGGAAAAACATTCTTAATTTTTCACTTAATTTTGAAATTGTTCTAGAAGTAAAGGCATTGCAAGATATGTACATGTCGTTATATATTGAAAAGTATACCTTTGTGTTAGCAGCAATCCAGTTGGATGTCTCACTGTCATCATCGCACTTTTTAATCCATTTCTTTAACCACTAGGAAGAGAAAATAGTAGTAGGTCACTGACTGATTTGGTTTACACATGAAATTTGTTAACCCATTTAATTCTCTGTATCCATTGAAAACCTATTTTTGTAGTTCCATTTTAGCATGATTTTTACCACGAAAAAGCCACGCACTAGTTAATGAGATACTCAGGTGATGTACCGGAGCTCCCTTACATTTGTTAAAAGGCTATAGTAAAGCTTTAATCAATACTTGACAGGAAAGATAGTCTTGAGAATTATATTCACTGTAGCATGGTCCAGTGCTAGAGGACCCCACTTAAGCTTCAGCGACTGGGTCTGAAGCACTCAGGGTCCCTGATAGCAGCAAGTAAGCTGACCTGGCAGAGGTACTCAATCAAAGTACGGAGCTCCATCAGTGGATACCCTGTGCCATGCAATGGTGCATATTTTTAATGTACTGTATAGGTGTGCACTAAAAATATGCAGAAGTATAATAAAAAAAAAAAAGATACTCACATTGGAAGTAATCTGCTACAAATCCCCATGCTACGCAGCATCTGAAGTGAGTTCTTGTAATATAAGGTGATTGCGGCTCAACTTTCCCATAAACAGTGCTTTATGTATTACACACAGAAGAGTTTTAAATAGTTGCAGTTACAGCTGAACATTAACTCATGTACAGCAGATTTAGTTTGTAGTAAAAAAGGGAAATACTAAAGATTGGTAGGGAGTGGCAGAAAGGGGGCGCTAATGGAATACAAAAATGTACAAAAAAAAACCCCACCACAACTAAAGACAATTTGAAGGGCCACTATAATCTCCATTAAGTGGTCTGGGTGTGGTGGCCTTTGGCTATCGCAATGATACAGCAATGTTTTCATTGTGGAGTTAAACACACCTCTAGTGGCTGTCTTTCTGAGGGTGGTTACCCAGCAAGGAAGCAGTATGACTCTGTTCTTAAATTATAGAAGCATCCAACACTCGCATCCTGGAGATTGTTAGCCATGTGGGGACATTCTGGTCACCATAGCAACTTCATCTAAATGAAGTTGTTATGGTGGCACTAGACACCGTGCATACTCTTACCATAAAATGGGTTAAACCCCAAATTTTGCCTCCAGCACCGATCTACAGGTTCCACAGGCAGCACCCGATTTCATGATTTCAATTACAGGCCTATATCAATGGTGAGCTAGTCATTGGCTTAGCATGTCAGCTCTAAGCCAATCAGCTGCGCTGCTGCGCTGCTGCCCTGCAGCAGTCTAAGCTTACTGTAACAGAGCAAGAAGTCGGATGTTGCCTGTGGATCTGCAGATCGGCGTTGGAAGCAATCGTTGGAGTTCAACTGTTCGAGAGCAGTTTAAAGGGATACTCCAGGCACCCAGACCACTTCTGCCCATTGGAGTGGTCTGGGTGCCAACTCCCACTACCCTTAACCTTGCAAGTGAAATTACTGCAGTTTTCAGAAACTGCAATATTTACATTGCAGGGTTAAGTCCTCGTCTAGTGGCTGTCTACTAGACAGCCGCTAGAGGGACTTCCGTGCTCATAGAACACGAAAAGTGTTTTAAAACGACGTTGGACGGCCTCACGCTATGTGAGGACCTCCAGCGTCACCGAAATCCCCATAGGAATGCACTGTATAAGACTTTCCTATGGGGAGGTCTAATGCGTGTGCGCGTCCATTGCCGAGCATGCGCATTAGATGTCCCCCACCGGCTGAAGTCAGCGGGCGAGGAGAGTAGGCGGAGCCTGACCCAATGCCGAGGGACATCGGCGCTGGACTCCAGTAAGTCACTGAAAGGGGTCACTAGAGGGTCCTGCAGTGCCAGGAACATAAATATGTTTTCCTGGCACTGGTGAATCCCTTCCCTTTAAGCCCTTAAGGTAAGAGTTCGCGCACAGGGGGGCCTCCTGGCACTATACGAACTTCATTCAAATAAAAGTTATGATGACTTAAGTGTCCCTTTAAGTCCACAATGCTTCTCAAAAAGGAAAAAAAAGAAAATTGTCCTCAAGCCTGATGAACACGTAGGTGGCGGACTGGGCTGTTCAGAAGAGGCTTTCTCTGCACTGGATTGAAGGTAAGTAAAGGGTTAAATTAATGGAGTATTTTGTATTTTGTATAGTGGGAGGTGAAGTCTAAATAGCTCAACAAAGACAATGGCTATAAATTAAAAACAGCAATCACCCCCAGTGTTCAATGAGACATATGGGTTCTTTATTCAACTTTTGGACTGTTCAACCACAAATGCAGGTATGAGCCTTCCAAACCCTGGCAATGCCAACATCTATCTGGTAGCACTGGATTTAAGCTTTTGTTAGTGTGTTAAAAAATAATTCAGCATTTATGTATCAAAATAAAAACATAAAGGTAATGACTAGCTCAAGCTCCCATTGTATCCCTAATGCAGCTCAATGAGAAGTCTATGCAAAGCAGATGCTCTGAGCAATTACAGAGTTTAGCTCCACTGAGATAAACAACCAGGAAGCTTGAAAGCCAGGGTGGTGTAAACAGAAAAAAAAACAAAAAACATAGAAGTGTCAGTTTCTATTGAAATCAGCACACTTTGCAAAATGAGGAAAAAAAAAAAATGTCTGGAGTGTACCTTTAAAGTGAAACTCTAGGCATTATTGTCATGCAAAATGTAAACAGTTGGATTACACATTTTGTTTACCAACAAGTAAAATAGAAAAAAAAATTCCCCACATTCCTCCAGCATGACATTCATTTTTCTAGACACTAGAATAGTTGTTTGCTCACTTCACCACAAGTATACGATATTGGAATAAATGGGAGTTGTGAACCCAAACTTTGTTTCCATTTTGTTTACACTTATAGAAAAAACACTCCGTTTAAGTGGAAGAAGATTTGCACAGATATGCAATTCAAGTCCATGCTCAATGCTCTTCTCATTGGAACTTATGAGAGTGTAGTGAATGGCTGGAGTATTAAGCATCCAAATCACTGAAGCAGCTTTAAGCCCATACTTACCTTACATTTGACTGGGTCGTGCCAGTTTTCTCCACAATTAAAACTGTAAAAAGACACAAAACTAAAATCAGATCTTTATAAAAAAAATTGGAGAACATGTGATCAATAGGGCTCTTAAACCTGGCAAAAGCAGCTGTCACAAGGCATAATTAATCAAAGCTGAACATTTGTCAGAGATGCTGTTAGTTAGAAAAGATAAAAACACAGTTGGGTGCACTCAGCATTGCTTTAACAGACAGATCATTCAAATCAGGGTAAGGTTAAAGGGGTTAGTGTAAGTTACATCATAACCACTACAACGGGTACTGGTGGCTATGATGCCAGAAGTAACCAGTTAAGGGTGGTAATGTCTACGTCACATTATAGGGATGAAATATTTTTAAACCTTTTTTTTTTAAAAGACCATTAAGGACAATGTAACAACTACATCTCAGTGAAGTCTTTATGGTGTCTGGAGTTCCAGGATGCAGTATTACCCTATGGGGTTAAACCATTGTAGAAAAGTTTAAATCTTAAGTCCTCCCAACAGCCCCCTGTCTCCTCATCTGGCCCCAGCTTTAATGCTGAAGCATTTCTTTTGGGCATTGTTGATAAGTTGAACGTGTCAGCCTATCAATGGTCGAACACAGAGAAATGCTTTAGAAAAGTACAAACCTTCGTAAAACATAGGGGGCAGAGTTGGGATGTACCTATAGGTATGCTATTGTATATGTAGTCATTAAAGGAAATGCAGCATATCAGTGTCTGAGATCACAAAGCAATACATGCAAGCTTTAAAACAGAGTTAATACAGAGTAGTTGGTCTTTCTATTCTGCCGTTTGCCTCAATTACTCACCAAAACTGACGGCCACATTTGCATCGGACAGGCTTGGCGTCAGGATACTGAACCTTTACCACGTGATGGCAGTCTGGAGCAGGGCACCACTTCAGGAGTCTGTTGCACTGACAAACCAGAAAAAAAAAAAGTTAAAATATAAGATATGGGAAAGGAACAGTGTCAGCAGCATTAATGCAGAGCAACAATTGGAGATGTATCAAAAGGCAACAGTTTCTGGGCTACTCTCTTACTACTGTGCTGCATCGTGATTCAGTGAGAATGAAGTGATATGGCATCACTTCTTCCAAAACTCGAGGGCAGAATTATAAGGGAGCCTTAAAATGTGCTCTGCTACAGTGCATACAGAGATGCACCATTGCAGCTGCTAGAGCCCCAATAGAGGCAATCTTCTGGACTCTACAGTGACAGACAGGGAGACAAATTCTTAGTGCCCAATGCTAATTCTGTGTTACCAAGCCTATATCAGCTGTGTCTGTCCTTTTCTCATTCGTTTTAACCACTTCAAGGACCACTATAATGCCAGGAAAACAAACTCTTTTTCCTGGCACTATAGTGGCTTGAGGGTGCCCCCACCCTCAGGGTCCCACTCCCTCCGGGCTGAAGGGGGTTAAACTTACCTCTTTCTCCAGCGCTGGGCACTCTCCTCCCTCTTCTGACGTCACCGACTGAATGCGCATGCGTGGCAAGAGCCGCACACGCATTCAGCCAGTCCATAGGAAAGCAGTCTCAATGCTTTCCTATGGATGCTTGCGTCTTCTCACTGTGAAAATCACAGTGAGAAGCACCTCTAGTGGCTGTCAATGAGAAAGCCACTAGAGGCTAGATTAACCCTAATGTAAACAGCAGTTTCTCTGAAATTGCTATGTTTACAGCAGGCAGGGTTAACCCTAGCTGGTCCTGGCACCCAGACCACTTCATTAAACTGAAGTGGTCTGGGTGCCTATAGTGGTCCTTTAATGTTTTTTTGTACGTATGTATAAATGGCGCGCGTGTAAATATGTATGTGTCCGCACGAACAGCTAAAAACATGAACAGGTTAAAATTAACGAGAAAAAGATAGACACCGCTTTACAAGAGCAACATTTATATGGATATAAAATGTTTATGTTCTAGACAAATGTGCACGGTCATTTAGGAAGTACAATTTATAATGTATATTGACTTGGAAACATCTTTGCAGATAAATACATATTTTATTCTTTCAAGATGATACAACCTATGTATTGTTTCTTCCAAGTCTTCAATCAGAGCATGGAGTGAACCTGGGTACAAGAGACCGTTTGCTAATCACAATATAAAGACTGAATAGGATTATCACAACCAGGTCTCAAAAGTAGTAGCCGTTGGTGGGTGAAAATTTAGCCCCGACAAGGAGAAATTCATCCCTGGTGAGTGTGCCATGGACTCTCCAGGGTTGCCGTGACGAGTAAATGAAAGTCTGGTTAGAAGTGTAGGAATTGAAACTTTTAGATTCTAACCATTCATTACGATTGGAAATTTATATAACTAGAACATAAATGAGGCACCAAAATGTTAAAAAACATTAATAGACTCACTGTTAAATTACTTTTTTGTTTCACTCATTATTTACTTACACCAAAGAATGTTACAGTGAAACATTCTGAGCCAAAAGGGACAAGTAACTGTCTAGAATTAATCAGCAGGTGTTATAATTTCCACACAGATGGAACGCAGCATTACATTTAAACCATTACAGATTAGGAGAGCTTAAGTTCTATCTTCTATTGCAAATACCTGAACACATGCAATGATCCACACAATATTTATAGCAGCCACTTACCTCTACAAAACTATTAGTTATTAAATGCTGATACTTTAACTTCACTTTTGAATCTGTGATCAGGCGCCTGGAAAAGAAACACACATGAAAAATGTTTGAACACAGGAGGATAGGGAAGCTCAAAAACACATTGTTGTTTCAAAATAATAAAATATAAATTTTAGGGTATAGTGGTGAGTGACCAGGAGGAAAATTCCTATGGTTTATAAAAGGGACTGCCCCGCTTCTTATAACCAATTTTTTAAATGTAATACCTATGGCCTAGACCATATACAAGAAACGGTTTCATCATAAAAAATTTCTGAAACGAGAGATGTAGCAACTATTATGTGTATCTTCACTTGTTGTGGAGACAAAGATTCAAGAAAAACACCAAAACCTTGACATGACAGTTGTCTGTCGCACAGAGCACATTTCACCTCTGATTCAGCAAACCTTTTCTCCAATAGTCCACTGGTTAAAGAAATAAACAAACAAAAATATTTTGTGGTTATGATGGCTGGACTGCACTGGCACCCTAGGTTAATTGTTAAACTGCTGAATCCCTGGCCGCCATAGACACTCATTGCAGCTTTTGCTCTGGCTAACACTTCCTTGTATACAGAAGTAGATAGGTGGAGGGGGAATGACGAGTGTCACATGAGCACTCCTCAGCTAATCACGGTTCCCCTACTTCCACTTGAGTAAACTAGGGCTGTGGAATCAGTACACATAACCTTTGTCTCAGACTCCTCAATTTAAGTTACCACTGACTCCTTATACTATATTACAATTACTGTATTTGCAGGCATAAAAACTAAACTCAACTAATATGTTGAGCATAAAGTTGTTGATGCATATTGCTATCACTTCCAACTTCTTGTCTCAAGAATTAAAATTTCGGACTTATTATTTACTCATAAAAAACACATTTGGGAGGGGGCGGAGCTGAACAGGCAAGCTGAATAGAAGCACATTGCATAAGCTCCTGCAGTATAGGCTCAAATTCTGCAAATATCTGGAGATTGCCTGCTGCGATTCCCCTACAAACCTGCCAGTAGGCTAGGGGAAGCAACCACGACTATGCCGGTACCAAATTTGAGACCTGATTCGACCGGGAACCGTGGCAGCAAATTGAGGCCTAGTGGAAACAGGGGGGAAGGACGGCCGCCTTCCCGCCGGATCCCAACTGTGAAAAGCGAGTGCAAAACACGCACCCTCCCCCCCCCTATGGACCGGCGGGGGATATCCCGGTCCCCGCCTGGCGGGCTGCCCCGAACCCTACACCGACAGACAAGAACACAGACCACCATAAGAGACGAGGGGACGGGAGCGCTCAAGATGGCGGATCACTTCGACACAACAGTGTCCGACAAGCGACAGCGACCACCGGATGCAGAGGACACCGAGGACTGCGGAAAAGATCCTATCACACTAATCTTTGACCGCTTCTGGGCCAAACTACGGGCACACATCAAGCCTGCAATGCCCAGCCAAACATTACCCACAAGGGTAAGAGCCGATGGCGGACGGGAGAAAGAGTTGCCTTGAGGAGGATTCCCAAAGACCCCCACATCGATCCCCCACATCCTAGGCACTCCCGGGCTGAGAGCAAGATGGGGAGTACCCCAGAGGCGCTGGCCACACAAGCGGAGAGGGGCAAGACGAAACCTCAAGCGACCTAACCTACCTCTCCGCACGAACCCGAAAGGGCTGACCCTGGACCACGAAGGCTCCCAGGCTCATGGCCTACGAGCGCCAGCTCTCCCACAGCTCCGGGGCAAGAGGGGATTCCCGCAACTGAGACACTATGGCACTACCCAGATGAGACGGAACTCAAGCGTGAGGCCCAAACCTGAAAGGCAGCAGACAACCGGAGGTCACCGGGCCAGCAGCGATAAGACTAACATTTTAGCACAAGCTCGAGGGATGAACCCCCCCCATCGCCATTACAGGCCTAAGTGACTGCCTAAATGTCTCCATCCACACCAGACAAGCGGGACTCTGCATGGCAAAGCAGCGAGGCCATCATCTGATGAATCCCAGGGACGATATGGAGATACCAAGCCGAGGCATCGGCTAACAGTGCCACATGCCCCCGAGCGAGGTACCCGTACCCCCCTCAGGACTTACTGTTATATACCAGCCCATTGATACCCAGGCAGATAATATTGTTAAGCTACAGTTGAAGTTACGCCAGCCACATGGGACTGGGGCCTTATCAACAGTGGTATGTTTCCTATGTTCCATGTCGGCAACCAATGATACCCTTAACATGTCTAACATTGGCAAACAGTGACTTCTTGCATATGTTTTATACAGACAACTAGGGAGCTCTTTCAAATGTTTTATAATGGCAACCCGTGATATCTTTTATATGTGTTACAATGGCAACCAGCGATATCTTACAATGTTTGAGAACTACCCTAAGCTTATGATACCAGCCTGTCTTTTTATATGTCTATACGCTCACATAGGTCCCCTTTGATGTTTTTGTTAACCCTTTCCAACCAAAAAATGCACAAATCTAGCCACAGCAAGAGAGCAGTGGGCCTGACATGTCACTCACAGACACTCGATCATACCCACGCAATGCTATAACCACACTAAGCAACAGGCACCCATGGGGGTCAGCTAGCCCATATAGCTACACTATACTCTATTTGCGCTCCCACACTAGGCGTACACGGTAACACGGTTGATTTGTAGATTCAGCTATTATATCTAAGGGGACAGAAGGGGAGGCTGGCAAGCAACTACATATCCTGGTCCCAGTCCAGACATGGTCACCATGCTACGTAACCTTTTTGCTTTAACCATAATCTCTCTACCTATAACATAAAAATTGTGCAAGAACTTTCAAATACCCCTATAGTTTACGTTGTTGATATGTTAAATTATGCATGAGGAATGCCGTTGGGGTACCTTGTGCCTGTTTGTAAACCTATAATTGCACTGCAAAATACATATACCACTAGATTGCCTTACTACGTTTAAAAACAAAAAAAAAAAGTTTTAAAATGTGCTCTCACTTCAAAGCCACATATGTATAGATCTATGTTATTGATGTGATTATGTTTGCTGTTGTGGCAACGTATATCTTACTGTCAAACCATGCACAAAAAAATTCAAAAAAAAAAAAAAAACACATTTGGGAGAATTAGCAGATAAGATTATCACTTAAGGTATCCCATCATTCATATGTAAACACAGCTGACTGGTTTAAGAGAAGCACGCCCGCTATTGGCCAAAAAGTAAACTCCATGCTAATGTTTTGTTTACGTTTAAACTCTCAGCACCTGATTAATCGTATAGAAAAATAACCTGTCATATCACAGGATACAGTAAGTAAAACAATTTTGTATGAAACTGAACAAATTGTTGACTTGTGTTGCATAGCTATGGCTCAAGTCATAAGCGTATGCAAGGCCAAGCATAGGCCCAAAAGAAACACATTTTGACTTCGTATTGACTTATGCAGCGAACATACGCTTAAACCTATATTACACCTTACTGGCTTATATGGAACATTTTGTTGGAGTTGACATTTTTATCCACTCCTGTAACCCAATAATTGCTTTTGACTCCATTACACTCACTCCACAGCACTGGAGTTAACAAGGATGTATTATTAGCAAGTGCAGAGTGACCATTAACTATTAGCTTACTATTAAACCGTATGTAATGGTAGTGAAACAAGGGACAGCCAGGGCAGACCATTTAGAATAATCAAATCAGAGAGTTAAAATGGTTATGATGAGTTTCTTTTAACATTATCAAGCTGTACTCATAACTCTTTTATAGCAAAAGGAGAAAGCAGTGACTAGCTTGGACAACATTTACTTGGAAAAAGATATGCCTATGCTTATCCTGTATAATTTATCTTAAAAATGCCAACATCTCCACAAAGGCTCATTTTACTTACATTACGGTATTGTCATCAACTAAGATATCACAGCCATGGGCTGGGCAGGAGATAGTCTGGGGGAGAAAACAACAAGTGTGTAATTAAACATCGTGGACAATAGAGATTGGATCAGAAAAGATTAAATACAAAAGTGAAGAGACATAAATGGAAGCAAAAAAAAAGTCAACAAGACTCTATGCCTGCTACCCACTCATTAAGTGTTTTCCCCAATATTACCTGTCCCATTCCTTCCTCTATGATTTTTGTGGTTAAGTACTCGCTCCAGCACTGCATACAAAACTTGTGACCACATTCAAGGCCTGTGAAATACTGAAGAGGAAAAACAGTTATGAGATCTTTAAAAACTGCTAAGCAGCGACGAAAAAACATGAAGTATGCAGTGATCAACACGATTTGCAGTCAGCATTGATGGATTATTTGAGAGTGTACCAAGTAAAGGAAATAGAATAAAATACTTTTACAGAGGAAGCAGAGAATTACAGCAATAGATTCTTGAACGTGTCCAAAAAGTTGTAAACTATTATACATCACAACTTGATCATAAATGTCAAAAGGGATTACAAATCGCACTTTTACTAACAAAAAAATTTATGTTTTCTGTAAACCTTTGAGAGATAAGTTCTAATTTAGTTCTTCTCAAAGTTTTCGTTTTATTAGGTTAAACTTAAACCTCATTAGAGGGGGTTAGCAGTTGGTTCATTTCAGGAAGGACCTCTACGTAGGTTACAGGGTTTCTTTTCTGTTAGGGCCAGTGTTTGGAGCACCCTCTACACCTAGTGGCATGTGCATCCCATGATCCAATTAATAATCTAGAAGCTAGAGACACTCTTGTGCACAAAGACACCCATGTCTTTTTAATCTGTACCTAACTCTTTATGTCTACATGGCATTTTCCAACTATAAGTAAATCGATTCTTCTGTGAGTCCTTGCCGAAAATTGCTCACATGGCAAATGATAAAAATGTTAAGAGATTAGAGTATATGCCATACAGTACTGCTAGTAATGATCTAATCCACAGCATAACGGAAACACCAAGTAATTTTGTTTTGAAACACTTACTGAATTGGGGTAATTCAAGTAGCAGATCTGACAGGGCATGTCTTGGGCAGAGGAACGAGTGTTCATTTGGCGCGTTCTTGACTTTTTACTAGGGTTAATAACGTGACATTCTGAAAAAAGTTTTTCCAAGTTCCCATCAAAATACCTGTGAAGACATGCAACAAGTTATTCGCTTAGACCGGAAAAAAGTTATTTAGATCAAGAATTATGGACATACAAACGCGAATTCACTGAAAACCTACTAGAACAGCGCTTTTTAACTCAGCCCAAAAAGACCAGGGCCCACTATATAGTGAACAACTAGTACTGTAGAAATATTGGGCAATGTTAAATCTATGAGAATTAACGAACTAGACAGTTGTGGTTTTGCAGGAAAAATGTTCAAAAGAAATGTGTAGCCGATAACTTACCGATTCTGAGTGTGAGTGTGTGTGTGTGTATAGTGTATATATAATGAATACAGGGTGTGTGTGTATAGTGTATATATAATGAATACAGGGTGTGTGTTTGTGTAGTGTGTATATAATGAATGCAAAGTGTGTGTGTGTAGTGTGTATATAGTGAATGCAGTAAGTGTATAATGAATGCAGAGTGTGTTTGTGTAGTGTGAATGCAGTGTGTTTGTGTAGTGTGTGTATGTGTAGGTATATAATGTGAGTAAAATGGGGGTGGGGCATTTTTATTTTATAATATAAATTTTTTTAAATTTGTTTTAGTCCCCCCTCCCTGCTTCTTACCTGGCCAGGGAGGGGGGATATGGCATTCCCTGGGGGGCCCACGGCAGTCCCAGCAACACTCTTACTTACCTTCCCAGCAACTCCCCTGTATAACTCTCACACAGTCACACAGGCCGCGGGACTCGTGAGAGTTACACAGGGGTGCTGAAGGGAGCTGCTGGGAAGGTAAGAAAGAGTGTGCTGCGGGCCCCTCCAGGACCCTGACCATTATAGTGGTTATAATGACTGGAAAGTTCCTTTAATAATATAGGCATTATTTTACAGCACCAACACTATCCGCTGCACTATACAACGTGGATGCATAGAAGCAAGTAATTTACAAACAATATCATGAAGTGGCCTGGGTGCATTGGTCCTTTCATTTTGCAAAACATTGCAGCTTTTTAGAATTTGAAGTTACCATCAATTCTAACTTCAGTGAATAACCCTGTACGTTTTTCTAAAAAGCAAAAGGAGGCCGGACTGAGGGAGCCTACATTTCAGAACTAACTATTGTTTTGTTTGTTTGCGACTATTGGTTCCCTTTAAATCTTTCAGCCCTTACATGACATTGTTATGACCAACCAAGATTGCAGTATTTTGAATTACACAAAGGGCTTAAGCATTTATATAAGCATGAGTCATTGTAAATGATTTCTCATATTTTGTATCTAAAACAGGAGTTATTTGCAGCTAAAAGGATCACTCCACATCACAAAATCACTTCAGCTTGGTGAAGTGCTTCATGGGTGAGGAGTATCCTAGTTTAACCCCAATTTATAAAAGTACTGATTTCTATGAGAAATCAACACTTTTAGAAATTAACAAGGGAGCACCCCACTGGTTGTCAAACAATGAGCCAGAGAGGTAGGCAGCCTACTTCCGTCAACTCCCCTAAGCCAACGGAAGTGGCAGGCACGCTCAAGTAGAGCATACTTGCCTCCTCCCACACAGATCAGAGGTGCGCGCGAGCAACAATTTAAAGGTGTCTCAATGAGAAGTTTTTTCCCTGTGAAGAGACTGAAAAAAGGGGAGTGCTTGTTAAAACTGCAGTTCATAAGATCTGTTAACATTTGGTGAGGCAGGCTTGTAATCTGCACAACTAAACAGAGTCTTGGCACATTCTGTGTTCTGACCTCACGTATGATAAAACCTGGGTGTTTTTGCTTTTCTGACCAGATAGCAAAGGTCAATTTCTCACCTTATACAGATGTAAAATAAAACAGGAGAAGGATGACGACCCTATGTTCTTACCTTTCCATTAGTTTCTCTTTGTCCCAGTTAAAATGACTCAGAAGTATTCTAGTGATAGTAGCTGGATTCTGTACACAGACAAGAGTTTAAAAAAAACATGTTATAAATACTTCTGTTAGAGAGTACAATAAAAGTTTAACAATTAAAAAGAGTACCTTACAAAGAAAAAAAAAACAGGGATTTCTGCAAGGTGAATAAGCATATCATTAAAGGAACACTATAGTCACCTAAATTACTTTAGCTAAATAAAGCAGTTTTAGTGTATAGATCATTCCCCTGCGATTTCACTGTCATTTAGGAGTTAAATCACGTTGTTTCTGTTTATGCAGCCCTAACCACACCTCTCCTGGCTATGATTGACAGAGCCTGCATAAATAAAATAAAAAAATAAAAAATAAAAATGGTTTCACTTTCAAACAGATGTAATTTACCTTAAATAATTGTATCTCAATCTCTAAATTGAACTTTAATCACATACAGGAGGCTCTTGCATGGTCTAGCAAGCTATTAACATAGCAGGGGATAAGAAAATCTTAATTAAACAGAACTTGCAATAAAGAAAGCCTAAATAGGGCTCTCTTTACAGGAAGTGTTTATGGAAGGCTGTGCAAGTCACATGCAGGGAGGTGTGACTAGGGTTCATAAACAAAGGGATTTAACTCCTAAATGGCAGAGGATTGAGCAGTGAGGCTGCAGGGGCATGTTCTATACACCAAAACTGCTTCATTAAGCTAAAGTTGTTCAGGTGACTATAGTGTCCCTTTAACATATATATTACTGAAGCCAGTGACTGCAACAGACTGACAGCAGCATCACTAGAAACACGTTTTCATGTATAACAAATCTTATACATGCACAAGTTTATGTAAACATATCTATCTATATAAATGCTCTAAACTCTGGTCCAGGTTGCACATATATCAATATACAGATTTATTGGTCTTTGCAATAAATGCCTTAATAAAGTGCCTTGCTAGGTCACTGCTATATTGCTATGCATCAGTGTCCAGCCACCGCCCATACATGACATTAGACATATATAAACACATGGGTTGACATTGATGTACAGCACTGCGGAATGTGTTGGCGCTTTATAAATAATAATGTATGTGCTCACTGCAAATATTAACACCATACAAATGCGTGATAAGACTTAATTAACATATACTGTAATCCTAGATAGTTTCCAGAGCCCAAAATTGTATTATTTACACACACACACTTTTATTGTATCCACTGGATTCTATATCTAAAACCACAATCTTATTTGTTCCCGTCCCTATTAGGACCTAATCATTGGCAATAGAGGTAACTACCTACACAAATATTAGATCATTTCTCTAATTTGCCAATTTTGGCCTAATATTTGAGATTCAATCTGAATTTCCAACAAATCACACTTTATTGAATAAACCATGATAGCTTACCAGACACTGTTCTTTAAACCTGAATTGCTTAATTACAGCACAACAGATGAAATAGGAAGGTAATCCTAGGAAATATCATTAAAAATATCTATTCAACCCAAAACATGTTAAAGGAGAACTGCATCCATCTTTGGTCTGAAATACAGTTTATTTGATCCCAAACTGGGCAGGTAATATAGCACGGATTCACAAATCCTGGCATGTGCAGGCAGCAGACATCCCAAGGTCCCACTCTGTGGTGATCTAAGACCTTTAAATTCTGCATAATCTTATCAAATAAGTGGTGCTTCAGACCAAGGACAGCTAAAAATCAGTGAGCAAGTTTAAGCCAGGAGATGCACTAAAGCGTCATTAAGATGCATCCATTAAAAAAGAACGCAAAACACAAGGCTATATCACATGGATTCCGTGAAGACATTTTTCCTTTTTCAAAGTATTTTAAATTGTGGTGCCTGCAACGCATTACCAGTTCTCTGCTAAAGGGGTAATTCTGACTGACCCCTCTGTTATAGATTTGGGAAGGTTACATAGGAAGAAAATGAGGTCAGCACACATTTCAGCCATTTACGGCCTGCTGAAGCTGAAACATTTGGCAGTGGAATGGTTAATACGTTCAGTGGACATCTTTGCTTGCTGCAGCCTCTCCGATTTCAAGGACGCCATGTGCACAACTTAGACACCTGACACAGCCGGAGGCTGAATATCCAACACTCATTTCTCAGGTACAGGAAGGGAAAACTAATCCAGAGGGCCAGAGCTACTCTGGGTTTATATTATGGTTCTCCTGTGTTAGGAATTCACTAAATATGGCAAGTGACGATCTGTGTTTGCTGGGAGGTGTGGTAGACTCCGGCGCATGAATGTGCCTCTATTCTTTAGCTTGCTTTGTAATTTTTGCTTGTAAAAGTGACTCATACAAATCTGTTCTACAAATACCACAAGTTCTAGAGGTTTTTTTTCTTCTTCGTGATTTTCTTGATTCAGAGAGCAAGATTTCACGATCAGAAATATTTATTATTTGCTTTAGGAAAATACTTTATTATGTGCGCAATGATTAGAAATTTCTGAGAATCTTTCTGCGTGCCTCCTGGAGGTTTAAGGTGCATACTCATGTGACTAGCTCTGTTCTGTTGGGGATATTAACCTAACCAGGAAATGCAGAGAATTGGTACTGCAAAATTTAGAAATGTTCCAGTTTGGCCACTTTGACCTAGGATTAGCATTTTAACCCCTTAAGGACCAAACTTCTGGAATAAAAGGGAATCATGACATGTCACACATGTCTTGTGTCCTTAAGGGGTTAATGTGGCTGTCACTTTTGGGGATGTCTGCATTTTATGCAAAGGCCCCCCCAATGATGACATCATCCCTTAGTCTGAGGCAGCCCAGGGAAGAAGCTATTCCCTGCAGATGCCTCCATCTTTCTTGTTGGGCCAGCATTCACCAGGAGCCCTCTGTACTATTGTACTTTTGCACATAAGAACAGAAAAAGGCCTATAGGTCAAGAGAGATACTCAACAGATCTAACTGCCAGTGCTGTAATATTGTGCATGCGCGAGTGTACATCATTGACTTGGTCTCCTGGCAGATAAAAAGCCAGGAGCTGAAAAGGTTCCACAAGATGCACAGGTTGGTGGCTACCAAGGATAGCTTCAGGTAGGTAAAACCAACTTCCCCCTGCACCTTTGGGCCATCGCAAACCAAGCTGCGATTTAACCATCAACGGACTTTGAAAATATGAAATAAATGTAAAAATAAAAAATATACACACAAAAATATGATTTCACTTGAGCATAGCCAGCCTGAAAATGAAGACCCCTAACCTGTCCCACAACTTAAAATTTCTTTTTCTATAAATGTTACTTGCAGAGAAAAAAAAAAAAAACACATAATATACACTGATACAGACCTTGTTTTTTTTAACTACTCTTTTTAGAATCCTAGTATGACCCGGTTGTAATACTCCCATTTACAAAAAGTAATAATATATTGATAGGCTGAATTTCTTTAAGAGTGGTCAACTGACATCTTCAACATTTGTGCTTTAAACTTTCCAATTTTATTATTTTGATGCCATTTATGGATATATCAGATATGTTTATAAATGCCAAATTTTGATGACATAAAAACACGCCACACATTATAACTTCACTTTTCTACAACAATTCTCTGTTTACATTTAGAATTTTTATTCTTAATTAGTACGCAAAAACTATCTTAAATCGCTCATAACTCCCTATAACACGCCATCAGCCCTTTTGATTATTTGGCTTAATTTTATATTAAATTATTTTTCCTTTTCATTTACTACACAATGAAAATATAGAGTAAAAGACTGCACAATGTGCTTTGAATGCTATTGAGTTGATTAGCCACTGATGTGAAGATCCACTAATTTAGTGAACTTCATTCACTTTGTAGGTTTGGTTCTCAATAAAAATGTATACAAAACAAGTTACTCGCTGTAGATAGTTGTGACTATCTGCCAGGGTAAGTCACGGAGGCTCCAAGGTAGAGGACAGAATGGTATGCATCTTTAAAAGTACATTTTGTTCCCAGATAGGTGATTTAACTAATTTTGGTTTAAATAAAACAAAACCAAATACAGTCACACTTTAGATAGGGAACTAGCTTCTCAACTTTCTTTTACAATTCTGTTTTTTTTCTATGGAAAAAAATGCTATTGGTGGTCCTCCCAGGGTGCCATCAAATAAGTGACAACTGATCATGTGACACATTTTCATATCCTCATTTTAGCTATGGCAATCAAATGTCTTAAAAAAATAAATAAAATAAAAAATAAATAAAATATATATATATTTATTTCCTACACGCAAATTCACTCCATGGTGGTTTCCGGATATTGTCCTACTTTATCAGTTTAGTGAAAAAAAAAAACTACTGTCCAGTTTGAGATGATGCCACAGACCTACCAAGGGCCTGTAATGAATATACAAATTAAATTAGATCATATGTCAAACATGCAATTAGCACCCAGGCAACCGATGCTGGAACTTTATTTTAGGTATGGAGTGAGATGAGATATCAAAAAACTGTGAAAGTGGAGACAAACCACAGGAATGGTTTGGATTTAGAAGAAAAGTGCTCTAATTATTAATTTAAAATATAGTTCTGTAGACGAGTTAGTTATTTAGGAAATTATATTTCTCTGCAACACACAGGGGAAGAGGGATGAATAGCACAATTTTCCTGACCTAAGCTTTGGCTCTTCAGTGAAAAAACTAGAAAGGCTCATAGTATTCATAAAACACTAGCTCTCAAATGTTGCAACTGTCCTAGATGTATTGAAGCCTGCTGTACAAAAGCTGATTAAGCGGGGAAACAGGATGAGCAAAATTCCTGACATGGAGATAGGGCACAGTGATTAGCCAGTGCGTCACACACATAAGGAGATTGGCCAATGTACCAAGCAGCAAGAGAGACAATTTCATTTTAATTTATTAATAATTTAATCCAAACATTGTGCAAGACAAACTGCTAGCAAATAAATTTACGGAAATATATTAAGAAATACATTTTATAGCCTCTTCTAATCCTGCTCTGATCACACAGTTAGCCACATGGATTTTCAATGTGCCAATTGTGGCATCATGTTTTAAGCCTCTTAGAATGCGTTGCATATGGGACTGAAAGCAAATGATGCCAAGTCTAGTGCATGATCATATGCGACTTCATGGTGATTAGCGGGTTGTTGTCTGAGCAGGAAGTAGAAATTGTAAAAAAAAATAAAAAAATTCTAAATAAGTGCTCATCAATAAATATTCTAGCTGTTTGACTAGCACTATCTGAATATGAAGTGAAGTTTTAAAAGGCACTCTGACACGTGCTTTGCATGACCAGATCCCTTTAACAGTTTGGTGACATAGGCCTTATTTTGTGAACATCTGAACGAGTATCACCATGAAGAGGATACAAAACCGTGGCTGAATCAGCAGTCAATGATGATTTCAAAATCTTGGGTGTATTTGGAGAAATGACACAAACAAAAAGAAACATTTTCTCCATGTTTAATAAATCAACAAACGCAAACAAATTAGCTGTGCTGGGGAATGTTCATGAATGAGTGTTTAAAAGTGTTTCTTTTTTTTTTTTTTGGAAAATGCTGGACTAGACACAGAGAAAACATGGGAATAGGTCTGATAATATTAAACAATAGTGCAAGTGTGTTATTAAAATAATAAATTGATGCAAATAGAAGTGACATTAAGAAACTACTCTTTTACTCAAGATAAAGTACTTTTGAAGTAGAATTATTGGTCTTGTCAACATTAGCATAAATTTTTTTATTTTGTTTACAAAGCCAAAACAGTATTATTAACTATCCACCCCACCTTATAAACTTGCAAAGAAAAAAAATTACTTACCTGGAATCCAACGCCAGGAAAAGCTTAGCATGCTGGTTAACAAACGTCCGTCTAAGTCACTCCTGCCCACTTGTGGTCCAATCAGATGCATTTGTTTGTACCTTTCTAATACCCCCTTCTCTCCAGCTCCAATGTCTCTCGGCACTGGCACAGCTCTGCCCACGCTCCTCACGTGCAAATGTGAGCCGACAGGGGAAACCTAATGGCCTTGCTCGTATTCGGATTTAACCATAGGAAAGCATTATATAATGCTTTCCTACGGGAATTACAGTGACGCTGTAAGTCCTCATGCATAGCGTAAGGATGTCCAGCGTCATTTAGGCGACCAAAAGTGGCCTCCAAGCCAGGAAGTCCCTCTAGTTGTAGTCAGCCACTAGAGGAGGAGAACTGCAATGTTTACATTGCAGCTCTATATCTGCCCTCTGTGGCTGTCTATCAGACAGCCACTGGGGGCGCTTCTGGATACATAACGGACTTTTGGTCCGTTATCTGATGCTGGACGTCCTCACAGACCTCCAGCGTCAGATTTTCCCCATAGGAAAGCATTGAATAAGGGGAGGAGCATGGGCGGAGTCTGACCCAGCACTGGGGGACATCAGCGCTGGATTCAAGTACGTAGCTGAAGGGGTTTTAACCCCTTTAGTGACATGGGATAGGGGGTTGGAGGGAGGAGGCACTCCAGGATTCTCTAGTGCCAGGGAAACTGTTTTGTTTTCCTGGTACTTGAGAATCCTTTTAATAAAAACTGCAATAATTACCACTCTAGGGTTAAGAATGAAGTAGTGGTCTGGGTGCCTCCAGTGTCCCTTTAAGATTATAGAGAGGGGACACACAAGCTGAGAACATCTGTTGTGAAGCGTGCACTGCCAGCAGATGTAATATTTGCACAGATTTGATATTGGGCAGCCCAAACACAGTTCCAGGCTGCTTAAACATATCTGTTTTCCTGGCACTGCAGGTTCCTGCAGTGGCCCTCTCCCTCCCACCCACCATCCCATGTTGCTGAAGGGGTTAAAACCCCTTCAGTGACTTAACTGAATCCAGCACCGATGTCCCTGGGAGCTGGGTCTGGCTTCGCCCACGCTCCTCCCACGCCGACGTCAGCCGGCGGGGTAAGACCTAATGCGCATGCGAGGAAATACCCATGCAATGCTTTCCTATGGGAATTTTGGCGATGCTGGAGGTCCTCATGCATAGCTTGAGGACGTCCAGCGTAGTTTAAAACACTTTTCATGTTTTGAGAACCCGGAAGTCCCTCTAGTGGCTGTCTGATAGACAGCCACTAGAGGAAGACTAAACCCTGCAAGGTAATTGTTGCAGTTTATAAAATCTGCATAAAATAATTACACTTGCAGGGTTAAGGGTGATGGGAGTTGGCACCCAGACCACTGAAATGGGCAGAAGTGGTCTGGGTGCCTGGAGTGTCCCTTTAAGTCACGTGAACAACTATCCCACAGCAACAAAGTGCAAATATCTTAGTATGTAGCTTTTCAAGCAGAAACACTGCACATACAGACTTCAACCACCTTGATTACGGTACTTCTAAAACCAAAAGTGGCCATGGTGGTTGGAGTAACCAGTTTATTCATTTAGTAGATATAAAATTTGTTTGGCAAATGGATTGTGGACTTATTGCTATGCTATTTTAAAAAACCATCTACTTCCCTCATATGTATTGCAAATGTTACCACTGTCTTACACTAACATAGAAAAATTAATTTTAGCTTTATCAAAATGCTGTCTGTTTAGTCTAGACTGCATCAAAATTATTCAAGTCAGGCTACCCCATTTATCTACCAAACATTCTACACCACTGTAGAGGCAACCACTTTTGTTTTTTCATCTGTATATGTTAGGATAAAAAAAATGCACACACAGTTCGCAAAGAGTATAAAAAAAAGTATTTGAAAGAGGGTAAGAAGGCTTTAAAAGCATGTGACAATTATAATGTTAAATGGTCAATGGACAAGCAGCCATCTGAGTGCACCACCCAGCTACTTGCTGCTGCCGACTGATAAAAGATATCCAACTAAGGCTCTTTCAAAACTATACTCTTATCATATTTTACAGAAATTCACAAATTAACTTATACAAGCAAATAGCATATTAGAAAACGTACAAATCTTTAAATCTTAGGCAAATACCCATAAAACATGTCAAAGGACAACTGTTACCTCAAAACAATGTTTTAATACAATAATACATTAATCAAGTTTTGAAGGAAATAGTTTTTTTTTTTAATGAAGTATAATATATATATATATATATATATATATATATATATATATATATATATATATATACACATACATATACATACATATACACACACACACACATATACCAACAGTCTCTGAGGTCTTCTTTGCTTCACTCCCTGCACAGAAGCAGGGAAAACCATGGAGACTTGGTTTTCAAGCACTTGTGTCTGACAGTGTCTATATATAGCTAAAGGAACCGGTCATATACTTAAGGTAAGAATGAGTTTTGAAAAAGTTTTGATGAAAGGATATTAAAGAAATTTGAGGTAACAGTTGTCCTTTAAATATTTTCAAACTGTATCATCATTAAATTTATTTGGAAGCATAACTGCACAATCAGATCCGATTAAGTCCCCTTGCCAATGCAAACCAGAAGAGTCCATGGCACACTCACCAAGAGTGGCTTTCTACTCACCAGGGTAAAATTTTAATTTCACCAATCACTAGTGGCGTGTGGAAATTTTGAGTCCTGCTAGATTACATGAACATTTTTCTATTAAACCAGTATCACTGTATTCAGTTCTACAGAACCACCCAACTATATGTTGAGGACAGAACAAAGTGCAGTGGCAGACCATTATACCCAATACATGTGTATTTGCAATTTCATACATATACATACATATATATTTTTAAAAATATATATTTTGCACAAAATTCAAGGTCAAGTTGAGTACATACCTGGATGACTTCATTCACTTCCCGGATGCATTCCACCATATGTTGAAGTATCTGTTCAGCAGTGAGGACTTCATAACGGTAATCCTCATCTTCATCTCCACCAGGGCCTGGCCCAAGGGCACTCCCCCCTCCTTCCCCACAAAGCCCGGCTCGCTCTGATCCACCAAGCCCAGCTTCCACCAGTTCTACTTCTCCCAGTTCCAACTCATCATCATGTTCGTCAGCTGCACTGTCCTCACTACACTCCTCATCATCAAACTCATAGTTGTATCCCTCATCTGAGTCCATGATCCCAGATAAGGGTAAACAGAAATTGCTGTGAACCAACTCCTGAAACTAACTTATAGGATAGCTCTCAAATGGCTATGGTCACGAATCATAAAAATGAATACTATGAAGCAATAGAACACAGATGTAATCTCAAATTCTAACAATAATGAACTTTCTTGCCTCCCACACACAAGAGTTAACTTTCTTGATTTAGGTCTGATCACACTGCTCCAGTTAGTATCAAACTGACCATCAGTTGAAAAAGGTCACCTACTTTTGTTAAGGTCACCTCAAAAATTCCTATATCACACGGAATCTGTAAAAGTATTATTTTTTTCAGTTTCAGTATCTAGAGCGGAGCAATAATACATATAAAGAAAGGCCTAAGGAAGATTTCTTTTTTGCTTCTTTGTTTTTTTTTACCCTGTAAATGGTTCTAAGATTTCCTTTATCAATGGAATGGTGTTTTTGTTTTTTGTTTTTTTACCTTTATCGTGATATCGAGAAAAAAAAACAACTACCCAGTAGTGAGCAGATTTATGTCATATAATGATTAGAATTGCTAGAACTTGCCAACCTCAATAAATACGTGTAAATATCCTTTCCACATGTCTCCATATAGACAGGAATGGAAAGGGGGGGTGGTCAGTAAATGAAATCTTATAACAATGGAGTGGAAAGATACAAAATACTTGATGCACACTCCCACCTACTAATACAAAATTCAATGTATGTCACAGGGTGAATAGCACCATGGATCCTTAATACCAGGCTGGGGCTCCCTAATAGTCTGGGGGGACCTGCTCTCTGTGATCCCTAACACCAGGCTGGGGTGGACCCTGCTCTCTGTGATCCCTGATACAAGGCTGGTCTATGGGCTGCAGTCTGTATACTGAGTGCCTGCTGGGTGGTCTATGGGCTGCAGTCTGTACACTGAGTGACTGGGGTGGTCTATGGGCTGCAGTCTGTACACTGAGTGCCTGCTCTATGGGCTGCAGTCTGTATACTGAGTGCCTGCTCTATGGGCTGCAGTCTGTATACTGAGTGCCTGCTCTATGGGCTTCAGTCTGTATACTGAGTGACTGGGGTGGTCTATGGGCTGCAGTCTGTACACTGAGTGGGTGGTCTATGGGCTGCAGTCTGTACACTGAGTGGGTGGTCTATGGGCTGCAGTCTGTACACTGAGTGGGTGGTCTATGGGCTGCAGTCTGTACACTGAGTGGGTGGTCTATGGGCTGCAGTCTGTACACTGAGTGGGTGGTCTATGGGCTGCAGTCTGTACACTGAGTGCCTGCTCTATGGGCTGCAGTCTGTATACTGAGTGCCTGCTCTATGGGCTGCAGTCTGTATACTGAGTGCCTGCTCTATGGGCTGCAGTCTGTACTTTGAGTGCCTTGCTGAGTGGCTTGCTGGGTGCCTTGCTGGGTGCCTTGGGCCCTGTGAGGCCTGTCTCTCCCCCTCTCTCGGTATCTCCGGGGCTGTGAGGCCTGTGGCCCCCCTGGATAGTCCCCGCCCCTCCCCTGTGCGCGCTCCGGTCACTGCGCACTCCCGGGGGTGAATGGTGGCCGCTCCCCTCCTGCCGCCGCGCACACAGTCCGTCTCAGGGATTGCCGTCGGTCAGTCCTGGCTTCCTGGCTCCCGGACAGCTCCCCCCCCGCCCCCGGTTCCGGTCTCCGGGAGACACCGCGCAGCGCCCGTCGCTGAGCCAACAAAGGGGCGGCTAGCGTCACGTACAGGAGGAACGTGGCGCGTCATCGGCTGTGCGACAGGCGCGCGGCTTCCGGCGCATCCAGGAGTCGCCCAGCTTGGACGTAGAGACTGGCAATGAGTCCAGTGTGTGAGTGGGGCTGTGTGGGCACCAGACTTCACACACTCAGAAATATATCTATATCAGTGTGTGAGTGGGGCTGTGTGGGCATCAGACTTCACACACTCAGAAATATATCTATATCAGTGTGTGAGTGGGGCTGTGTGGGCAACAGGCTTCATATACTGAGATAGAAATATATCTATATCAGTGTGTGAGTGGAGCTGTGTGGGCATCAGACTGAATATACTGAGATAGAAATATATCTATATCAGTGTGTGAGTGGGGCTGTGTGGGCATCAGACTTCACACACTCAGAAATATATCTATATCAGTGTGTGAGTGGGGCTGTGTGGGCATCAGACTTCACACACTCAGAAATATATCTATATCAGTGTGTGAGTGGGGCTGTGTGGGCATCAGACTTCACACACTCAGAAATATATCTATATCAGTGTGTGAGTGGGGCTGTGTGGGCATCAGACTTCACACACTCAGAAATATATCTATATCAGTGTGTGAGTGGGGCTGTGTGGGCATCCGACTTCACACACTCAGAAATATATCTATATCAGTGTGTGAGTGGAGCTGTGTGGGCATCAGACTTCATATACTGAGATAGAAATATATCTATATCAGTGTGTGAGTGGGGCTGTGTGGGCATCAGACTTCATACACCGAGATAGAAATATATCTAAATCAATGTGTGAGTGGGGCTGTGTGGGCATCAGACTTCACACACTCAGAAATATATCTATATCAGTGTGTGAGTGGGGCTGTGTGGGCATCAGACTTCACACACCCAGAAATATATCTATATCAGTGTGTGAGTGGGGCTGTGTGGGCATCAGACTTCACACACTCAGAAATATATCTATATCAGTGTGTGAGTGGGGCTGTGTGGGCATCAGACTTCACACACTCAGAAATATATCTATATCAGTGTGTGAGTGGGGCTGTGTGGGCATCAGACTTCACACACTCAGAAATATATCTATATTAGTGTGTGAGTGGGGCTGTGTGGGCATCAGACTTCATACACCGAGAAATATATCTATATCAGTGTGTGAGTGGGGCTGTGTGGGCACCAGACTTCATACACTGAGATAGAAATATATCTATATCAGTGTGTGAGTGGAGCTGTGTGGGCATCAGACTTCATATACTGAGATAAAAATATATCTATATCAGTGTGTGAGTGGGGCTGTGTGGGCATCAGACTTCATATACTGAGATAGAAATATATCTATATCAGTGTGTGAGTGGGGCTGTGTGGGCATCAGACTTCATATACTGAGATAGAAATATATCTATATCAGTGTGTGAGTGGAGATGTGTGGGCATCAAACTTCATACACTCAGAAATATATCTATATCAGTGTGTGAGTGGGGCTATGTGGGCACCAGACTTCATATACTGAGATAAAAATATATCTATATCAGTGTGTGAGTGGGGCTGTGTGGGCATCAAACTTCATACACTCAGAAATATATCTATATCAGTGTGTGAGTGGGGCTGTGTGGGCATCAGACTACATACACTCAAGTATATCTATATCAGTGTGTAGTAGGGCTGTGTAGGCATCGGGCCCCCACACACTCAGAAATATATCTATATATCCCAGTGTGTGTAGTAGGCTGTGTAGGCATAAGACTTTAATACACCGGGAAAATGAAATATATCTATATCAGTGTGTGAAGTGGGAGCTGTATGGAGCATCAGACTTACCATGCACACGAGAAATATATCTATATCCAGTATTGTGAGTATTAGGGCTGTGTAGGCACCGAACTTCATACACTGAGATAGAAAATATATCTACTATCAGTGTGTAGTGGAGCTGTGTAGGCATCAGACTTCACTTATAGAATACAAAATATATCTATATCGAGGTATTGTGAGGTAGAGGCTGGCAGGCATCAGACTTCATATACTGAGATAGAAATATATCTACCTATCCAGTGTGTGAGGTGGGGCTGTGTAGGCATCAGACTTTCATATACTGAGATAGAAATATATATATCAGATGTAGTGGAGATGTATGAGCACATCAAACTTCATACACTCAAAATATCTATATCAGTGTGTGAGTGAGGCTGTGGCCAGGCATCAGACTTAATACCGAGAATAGAAATATATCTATATCCCAGTATGTGAGAGTGGGGCTGTGTAGGCACCCGGAGCTTGCTACATATACTGAGATAAAAAACATATATCTATATCAGTGATGTGTAGTGAGGCTGTGTGGGCATCAAACTTCATACACTCAGAAATATATCTATATCAGTGGCAGTGAGGCTGTAGGCATCCTTGAACTTCATATACTGAGATAGAAACATATCTACTATCAGTGTGTGAGGTAAGGGCTGTAGTAGGCATCAGACTTCACACACTCAGAAAACCACTATCTATATCAGTGTGTGTGAGTAGGCTGTGTAGGCATCCGACTTCACACACTCAGAAGCTTACTATCTATATCAGTGTGAGAGTGGAGCTGTGTGGGCATCAGACTTCATATACTGAGATAAAAATATATCTATATCAGTGTGTGAGTGGGGCTGTGTGGGCATCAGACTTCACACACTCAGAAATATATCTATACCAGTGTGTGAGTGGGGCTGTGTGGGCATCAGACTTCATATACTGAGATAGAAATATATCTATATCAGTGTGTGAGTGGGGCTGTGTGGGCATCAGACTTCACACACTCAGAAATATATCTATATCAGTGTGTGAGTGGGGCTGTGTGGGCATCCGACTTCACACACTCAGAAATATATCTATATCAGTGTGTGAGTGGAGCTGTGTGGGCATCAGACTTCATATACTGAGATAGAAATATATCTATATCAGTGTGTGAGTGGGGCTGTGTGGGCATCAGACTTCATACACCAAGATAGAAATATATCTAAATCAATGTGTGAGTGGGGCTGTGTGGGCATCAGACTTCACACACTCAGAAATATATCTATATCAGTGTGTGAGTGGAGCTGTGTGGGCATCAGACTTCATATACTGAGATAGAAATATATCTATATCAGTGTGTGAGTGGGGCTGTGTGGGCATCAGACTTCATACACCGAGATAGAAATATATCTAAATCAATGTGTGAGTGGGGCTGTGTGGGCATCAGACTTCATACACTCAGAAATATATCTATATCAGTGTGTGAGTGGAGCTCTGTGGGCATCAGACTTCCTATACTGAGATAGAAATATATCTATATCATTGTGTGAGTGCGGCTGTGTGGGCATCAGACTTCACATACTCAGAAATAAATCTTCTTAAACCGAGGGAGATCTAAAAGCTAAACTGAAAAAATCAGACCATTGAGAAATTCTCAGGCCGTTTCATGATGCATACTGTAAGATGAACCAGCCACAGACTCTTAAGTATCTGAGATATACATCTCATGATAATTTAAAATGTATAAAAAGTTACTCAAACTCAAGGACACTTTTTCAAGGTTTTCCCTTGCAAAATCACTTTTACCCTTTAAACAGTCTCTGAACAGAAATATGATGAAAATATACCTTGGAATCTTTTGCAAATTCTTTTATTATTATTTTATTTTTTTAAGGAAACAATGTCCTCCTCTAATGATGAAGACATGGAAGACAGTCTATCAGCAAGGGTCATTTTAATAAGGCCCAAGGATAATGGAGTATGCCTACTAGCCATACTCACAAGAAAATGTAAATGTGTCCAATTGCTGTTTTACTGTTCAGCATGCTTGAGAACAGCTGCTAATGTCAACAAGGGCAAACACTTGGTGCAGGCAGTGTTGGGAGACGAGCCACCCAACTCGCTAGATGTTGCTAGTTGTTTTGCCAGATGACAAACAAACAAACAAAAAAGGAACAGCTCACCACATGAGTATTTCAAGACCCATGTGAAGACCACAGCCAACCAAATATGGCTCTGGGTTTCCCAAGATCCACTGCATTGTGACCATAGCAGGACATTTACAAAATGGTCTCAAAGCCAAACTTTATTTTCTAACACCTTGATAGAGAAAATAATAATTATTACACCTACAGAACATGGAAGCAAAACTAATTCAGGGCTATTCAGTAAAGTGTGAATCTTCAGGAAGTAAAAGAAAATTTCAAATTCTAGAACAAAATAGCTTAACTGAAATATATATCTGAAATTGTTTCCAATTCCGTTATTTTGGCCTTCAATTTGGAATTCACTGTGCATTCCTGACAATTCACAGTTTAGTGAATAACCCATGATCAGGCCTCAAAATTCACTCTCATTCACTAGACACTAGCAAGTAAAAATTCACCCCTGGTGAAAATACAACGTTACGTCTAATAGGTTTTGAATTTTCTTGTTTTGTTTGTTTAATTCCAATTTTATTGGTTTATATAAAAGGGATTGGGGTACAGAAAGAGAAGAAGGAGGGGGGGGTTCGTCGACAGGGGAGGGATCACAATAGGCATAAAGCAACAGATTTACATGATGGATTGTTACATTGTATAATCAACACATGGTAGTTACATTGAATGTTACAATACTTTTTTGGTTCTTCCCTTAACTCCTGTGGAGGAACTATCTTCTCCTAACCTCTCTGAATCCCTCTAGTGATTACACCTTGGTTCTGGGTATGTGATGTAAACCGTGTAGTTTATCTCCTTGGGTCCCCCACTGGGATTTTCAGGAGTTCTGGAGTACCAAGTGATCTGTATTTTAGTCTCCCCCTTTCTCGACAATGAGACCTCAGGGCTGAGGGTTATAACTGGGTGTTGGTACAAGGGATGGGTGGGGGTCAGTGTCCCGTGGATTCCCCATAGTGGGGACGCTGGGGCGGTAGTGGGGGGGGAGGTTCCATTGGGTACCGTGTAGGTTCATTCATTATTGGCCATGTTTATTGTCATTTTGCGCCCAGTACTTTAACCAGGGTTCCCATGTGATTGTGTATTTGTCATGACACCCTAGTGTAGACCAATGTAGGTTCTCCATTTCTCTCATTACTTCTACCCTAT